AAGGTACTGCTTGAGGGTCTGGTTCATTTGCTCAGTCTGGCCATCACCTTCTGGGTGGTAACCCGAAGTGAAGTGAAGATGCATATCAAGGGCCTTTCCTAGAGAGCAGAAGAAGTGTGAGACAAACTCAGGACCTCTGTCAGAGGTGACATTAGCTGGCACTCTGTGCTTGGAGAAGACATGGGTAAGGAAGAGCTTAGCGAGTTCGGCAGAGGTGATGGTGTCATGGGTGGGGACAAACACCACTTGCTTTGAGAGGCAGTCCACCACCATGAGTATGGTGGAGTAGCCATTGGAGTTGGGGAGGTGTTCGATGAAGTCCATGGAGACAGAGTTCCAAGGTCTCTCTGGGATGGGGAGTTGCTTTAGTAGGCCATAAGGGCGGTGATGCAGAGTTTTACTCCATCCACAGGTGGTGCAGGACCTGACATATTCTTTCACATCAGAGCAGAGGTTAGGCCACATGTATTCCCTGCGGACAAGTGCCAGGGTGCGGTTTTGCCCGAAATGGCCTGCTAGAGGATGGTCATGCTTGAACTGAAGCACTTGAAGGCGGAGGTCATCAATGTCAGGGACAAAGATGCAACCATCAAGGTGGAGTAGACCATTGGAGTCCAGGGACCACTGAGGCTTAGTTGGGGTTGGAAGATGGCTGGCAGAGACAGGGTCAGACAGTAGGGCAAAGATGATGTTGGAGTGCAAGCACTCAACATCAAAGACCATGGTAGTGCAGAGCATGGGTGCCACGAGGGTAGTGGTATGGAGGGACGATGCAAGTTGCTCCTGTGTAAACATAGGGCAGAGATTGTGAGGATTTACCTGTGTGTAGTCCCTATCCCCCCCTTTTGGGTAGATGTCCCAGTGTTGCGTAAGTGTGTCAGGTTTGGCTCCCAGGTGGCCAGGTCAGAAGAGGATGGAAAGGTTAAACTGTGAAAGGTACTCTGACCAGCAGGCCTGTCAATGAGTGAGGACCTTAGAGGTGGAGAAATACTCAAGGTTTTTGTGGTCTGTCACCACGTCGACAGGCAAGGTGGAACCTTCCAGGTAATGTTGCCAATGGCAGAAAGCCTCAAAGATAGCCAACAGTTCCTTGTCATGGGTATCATAGTTGAGTTCTGGCATGGCCATGGTATGGGAGTAGAAAGCAACTGGGCAGAGTTCACCATTGGAGCAGGTGATTGACAAAATGCCGGCAATGGCATAGTCAGAGGTGTTGGTTTCAACTGTGAGTGGAGTGTCAGGAACCCAGTGTGTGAGGGCAGGAGCGGAGCTGAAGGCATCCTTCAGGCAGAGGAAGGCAGAGTGACACTCCTCAGAAAAGTTCCAAGGAGCCCCTTTTCACATGAGGCAAGTGAGCAGAACAATGATGTCAGAGTAGTTGTTAATGAATCATCTGTAGAAGTTTGCGAAGCCAAGGAAAGACTGGATGTCTCGCACCTTCCACAGCTCAGGCCAGTCACAGACCGCCTGAACCTTCTCAGCAGACATGGTGAGACCAGAGGGAGAAAGAACATAACCAAGGTACTCAACAGAGTCAGAGTGAAACTCACACTTCTCCAGCTTGGCATAAAGACCATGCTTTCGAAGGCAGTGGAGTACCTCCTTTACATGTTCGTGGTGTAACTCTATGTTCTGCAAATAAACCAGGATGTCATCGAGGTATACCATGATGCAGACATTGAGCATGTCTGCAAAGATGCTATTAACGAATTGCTGGAAAGCCACAGGTGCATTAGTCAGACCGAATGGCATTACCTGCCACTCATAAGAACCATAGCAAGTGCAGAAAGCCATTTTCCATTCATCTCCATCTGCGATGCGGACCAGATGATAGGTGTGGTGGAGATCGATCTTGGTATAGACCTTAGCGTGGCTTGGGGAGTCAAGTAGGTCAGAGATGAGTGGCAGTGGATAGCAATCTTTTTTTGTGATTTTATTGAGTCCTCGATAGTCTACACAGAGGCAGAGTGAACTGTCCTTCTTCTTCATGAAGAGGACAGGGGCACCGTGAGCAGAGGTGGACTGCTTGATGAAACTGTAGCCAAGGTGCTTGTCAATGAAGGTGTGGAGAGCTTCAAGCTCTGGCAGAGACAGAGAGTAGATCATGCCAATGGGCAGAGAAGCTCCTTCCTTGAGGTCGATCTTGAGATCGAATGAATGGTATGGCAGAAGTTCAGTAGCCTTGTCTTTACTAAAGACATCAGCAAACTTGTGATACTCAGGAGGGACTGAGGAGAGGTCAGGAGGCAGAGAGGAAGTGGCAGACACACAAAGCTTCACATCATCAGCAGAGAGCTGTAAGCAGAACTGTCTAGAGCCAGGGAGAGCACAGGCTCTGACATACACAGCAGCATTGATGAGTGAGATGAGCAGAGCAGAGAATGGTGAGTCTGTCAGAGGTGCAGATGGAGCGGGGGGTGTCAGATCCAGAGCGGAGGTCACAGCAGAAGGTGACAAAGGTGCCTGGGGTGTCAGCATTCCCTGTAACGATGGTTTGAATGATATACTGCCCAGTACCCAGTCAATCGACAGATTGAAGCAGGTGAGCCAGTTGTGTCCTAATACCAGAGAACAAGAAGAATCCAATGGAGTAACATAAAATGAAACAGAGTTGACATCGCCAGAAGGAAAGCAGAGGGATAGATCTGCCTCTTGGGAAATGACAGCACTTGCACTACCATCAAACAAGTGGAGTGGAACTGGTGGGGAAATGGAGGAAACAGGAACAGCATATTTTTTGATTATGGATGGGTCTACAAAACAATGAGAAGAGCCAGAGTCAATCAATGCAGAAACAGCATCAACAGAGTAACCAAGAAGAGTTACAGACAGAAGCAAGGAACTGGGACTAGAGAGAGCAGATGTGTTGAATTGGATGTCTGGTTGCACACAGTTAGGGTCAACACTTCCTCCAGGCTGTGTGAGCTCCCTGGAGGAGCAGACTAATTTTTTGGCTCTGCCTTCTCCACAGGTGGAGGAGGTGGAGTCCCAGCCATAGCTGCATGGGCTTTGGCCATGCAAGAGGTAGACCTGGGACAGTCATTAGCAGAGTGGCCTGCCTCTCCACAGAAGAGGCAGAGGTTGTTCTTCATCCTATGCTGGCGTTCAGTGGAGGTGAGTTTGCCATCCTTGCCCAGAAGATGGGCAATATTGGACTTGGGCAGATCCTTTTGCCTGCCCTTGCCCTTGGCATCAGACCTTGGAGTGGAGGTGGAGGACAATGATTTATACTTGTTGTCAGAGCTGGAAGGCTGCAACCTGTCAGTGGCAGACTTGGTGGTGCATGAGATCTCTGCTTTACACTCCCAGTAGTGCACATCAATGGTCTGAGCAAGTTTGCAGAGTTGTGTGAGGGTAGAAGGTTTTCCTATGCAAGCGATTTCATCCTTGATGCAGTCTGGAAGTCCACTATAAAAGCGGTGGCAGAGTGCACTGACACCATAGTCCTTGACCTGTGAAGCCCAGCAATTGAACTCCACAACATACTTGGTAATTTGAGAGCCATCCTTCATACTAAGGTTCTCGAGTTGTTGGATGGCATCCACTATGGCATCATGCAGACCGAAATTAGTTGTGAGCTCTTGTAAGAACTCATGATAGTCATCCATCCAGAGTGGGTGGTCATAACTGTTGGGGTTTAGTAGGTCTGGCTTGAACCAAGCCAGGGCTATACCCTTAAGATAAGACTGAGCGAAGGTAACCTTCGCTCTGTCAGAGCAGAATGTGTGGGGGTGGTCCTGGAAGTTCAGCTCACATTGTATGAGGAACTCGCAGAGTTTCTTAGGGTTGGAGCCATCGAAAGTGTCAGGCTCATGGACTTTGGTTTTTGGAGCAGAGTCCCCAGTGCATGAACTAGACTGCACAAGTGCATGGACAGCTCTAGCAAGAGCCACGAGGGGATCCTCCAGTGGCTCAGCCAGGTCTTCAGGGATATCCCTGTCACCACTACCCCCACCATTGGGATCACCATCAGGGTCATCAGGGTCGGGTCCATCATCTCAGTCTCAAGGAGATGGAGTATGGAAAGTGGTTGGATGGAGGTCAGAGCAACCAGCCTGCGAAGCATTTTCACCTTTGGTGTGAGAACAGCATCGAGCAGAGAATGACTGGAACTGTTTGATGATGGAAGGGAGTTGACATGGATTAGCTAGTGCAACAGCAAGGTTCTCAGTGACCTCTCTTTGGGACTGAGCTTGAGTTCTCATAATGGTGTAAGTTTTTTGGAAGACAGAAAATGAGATCGTACAAGTGCGAGTACAAATATACTGTCAAGTCCAGGCCTACTCCAACCAACTCTGATGCTTGTTGAGGTCTGGGGAGAGGTTCGGGAGCAAGTCCGATGGAAAGAGTAGAACTCTGACTGGCAGAGTGTTGGCAGGAATGAAATCTGCCAAGGTAAGGGCAGAGTGAAGTGAGGGTGTTGGGTTTAGCTTGTGTGCTACCCCCTTGCATGATCTCAGCCCTCGTATTTCAGAGGGGGAGTACAGACGGACAGTCGGAGGAAACTCTGATAGGCAGAAGATGGAGGCAGAGGGAGTAGGAACTATGTTGATATTCATACTGAGGAACGACAGAGTATGATACATGCTTTTATACTACCACAGAGGTACAGTAACTGGCACTGGAACTAACATATGGGGACCCAGCAATTTTCAAGTAAAACTTCCTAGATGATGAATGAAGGGTAGATGGAGGGCATACGAACAGGTAACATAGAACATCCAGAAAAGGAAACAGTCCAGGCGCTGGACCATGTGGTGTGCATGCTACAGAGTACCTGACTGTGACCTGTCAGGGAGGAGTCCGAAGGTAGTCACATGACTCCTCAGAGAACAGTCTGCTCGGTCCAGTAGGGGAGCAGTGCAACTCCGACAGCAGCTGGAGCAGAGAACAGCTCACAACTGACAGAAGTTGGGTGGAGTTGGTGTGTTAGTGAGTGAATGACCAGCAGAAAGGGGTGTGGAGTGAGTGAGGACCTAGGATGAATGCATGACCATGACATGCTCAGGCAAACAGGTGCTGGATGGACTTATGATGATCTTGCGAGCAACACAAGCACAAAAAATATTATAGGTATGTTGCCACACCTTTATCACCTGCTATCAGTGTACTGATTGCTTCCAGATGGTATTCAGAAGGAATTCCTGTGGTGGGGAGACCTGCATGGCTGGTGGCACACAAACCCTGCATACAACAGCATGTGGAGTGGTGCTGATAGTGGCCAAAATTTTGCCACTCATGCAGTCAGACTCTTCAAATTGCAGTTGAACCCTCATGCCATTTCAGATGGCCTTCCTGTACCTGGCTCTCCAGTACCATTGGAATTGGAAGAGGGTGAAATAGGGGAGAGTTCTAACTTAATCTTTGCAGACAATTCTCTGGAAATGACTGTAGACTATGTTGGCAAGCCTCCCATCCCATTGCCTTCCTTTGCCATTTCACATTCATCATTGTTCCCCTCATTTGATCAACAGTTGTCACCTGCTGTCCTGTCTCCTCCCCCAATCCTTTCTGATTCATCATCACATGCCACCCCCCCATTCAGATCTGAATGGCCATTGCTTGCTATCCCTTCACCCTCCCTATTCAGAAACCAACTCAGCATTCCATCTGTCCCCCCTTTTGTCTCTGACAGGGGGGATCTTTCATCATTTGCTCTCCCATCACCCCTGCTGTTTGGAATTAAACATCCATTGCTTGGCATTCCATCTCCCCCCCCTCTCATTGTTGACAAGGGGGATCCCATCAGTCTGAATGATGACCCCACCCCCTTTGTATCCTGCCACCCAAAAATTCAGCCAATGCACCCATCTCTTGAGCACAACTCCCCTCTTCTGAAACCCAGGTTGGCTTCCACTCCAAACACAGATGAGTCATCTGACTCAGACATGTCATCATCAAATCTTTTTTTGGGGCTTCGTATGTCTTCATCCTCCACTGTGCTGTCTGATGATAGCAACTGCAAGCCATCATCATCCAAGCTGTCCTGTAAGCATGGGAATGAGGCCCCTGCTGACCAGCTCTCAGTGAGCCTCACTTTAACATCAATGTCATTTATTCAGCAATTTCAACAGGTGCAGCAAGATCAGTTGGAGCACAAGTGCTCCCAAATGGACTTCAACTACTGGAAGGTGAAGGAGAGGAAGTCTGCTCATGTGCATCAGTAAATCACTTGCTGGCCAGAGCTGTCCAGAGCTGTCCAGCACTGGACAGATTCCCTAGGACTACCAGCTCACAAAATGGTCTACTGATGTGGAGGATCATGAGCACCAGTTGCAAATGCAATGCAAGCTGCATGCACATGAGCAAGCAATGGTGGCTCAGGAGGTTGAGAAGATGAAGCTTGCAGTTCAGCTGGAGCAGCTGTGTGTTCAGAATCTCACATTGCAGAAAGGCATTGCAGGTGGTGAGGACCAAGGTACTTCATCTGATAGTCAGAATATTCACCTCACCTTCTGAATACAGTACATGGTCATTTTCTCATAATCATCTAGCATCCTAGCATTCCCCCCCCTATATACAGTTGCCTTCCCCCCCCCATATATGATTGCCTCCCCCCCTAGTATATACAATGTAGACCATGGTATATACTAAATATGAATGAATTTTGTGAACCTGTCTGTGTCATACTTGCCCAGAATAAAGTCCCAGAGCACCAGAACAAAGTAAAGTAAAAACAAAATATATTTACATGCTCAAGAATGTGTTACACCTCCAAGTGCTGAAGTAACTTGATAAGAAGTGCATCCCTAAATATTTGCCCCTCTGATCCAATGTAGTTTCCCTGACCACCTGCATCCTCACCTTCCTCATCCTCATCAGAGGGAGGAAATGCCCCAGCAAACTCTTCAGCTGATGATGCCAAACCAAGGTCCTCCTCAATTTCTATGATCATGTTATGGAGAACCAGACAACTTCACACCCATGCATTACAATACTCCAAGTCTTCGGGAGTCTGTATTTGGATTCAAAGCTCTCATAGGGATTGGAAGCACCCTTTAAGGGAGCCATAAAGATGTTCAGATCAAACATGTATCTTGCCATGATGGATGAGTATGGACTAAATATGTAAAAAGAGCTGTTACATACTTTAGACAGATGATAATTGAATGTCTTCTGCACCCTAGTCAACTGACCTGAAGCAGGTCTTTTGAATGGAACAATACACCACTTCTGGCATCCATATGCAGAGTCAGCCCAGAGCCATTCATTCTCACCAAAAAACCTTTCAGGTGACTGGGCACATTGAGTGTGTTGGAAGGCACTGGTGTCATGGAGGCTACCTGGAACACCAATGACATAATCCACAATGCATCAGTAAACCACTTTGTGTGCTGGCAGTCCTAGGGAATCTGTCCAGTGCTGGACAGCTCTGGACAGCTCTGGCCAGCAAAAGTGATTTACTGATGTGCAAAGATTGTGGGGGAAGATGATGATCTTGAATGCAGGTGAGTGAATACATGTAATCACCAAATTGTGAGTGCTCACCTGGTTGGAAAGTGAATAATTGGATTTCCTGTCAAAAAATCCCTCCCCATGCAACCCAGGCTTCTGAAATAGATTGAAGGGTGTCCCATCCACACATAAAAATCCCCCCTTCCACTGAGGACATGTTCTCTCCTCCACATATCTCTTTGCCCTGTCCTTTTCCCTCCTGTCCTGTGGTTCCTCAGGGTTAAAGTGAATCACCTCATCATGATGGTGCAGAATGGCAACCATCACCCTCTTGTAGCAATTGTGGACAGTCCCAACAGGTACACCAGCCCACTCTGCCATATCCCAGGAGGTGGCAGCATCAAGGAAAATTGCCAATTGTATGGGGACAGGGAACTGGGGGTTATTGGAGTTGTTGTGGAAGATAGGGTGGGTCTCAATCTTGTCCACTATAGCAGAAAAAACAGCTGGGGGGACTCTGAGTTTGTGCTGAAAGAGGTGAGGGTGGTCAATTTTCCACTCATTGAGGAGGTGGAGCTGGGGAGAGTGGCTTGGTCTTGGTCAATTGTTGAGAACATGTGTTTTTTCAACTTCATCCTGGAGTGCCACAATAGCATCCTGGAAGCCAAAGAAAGCAGCAGTACTGAATAACAACTGCTCCATCAAGCCAGAGGATGAGGATGAGGAGTCAGAAGTTGCAGCACCAGAAGATGGGGAAGAGGGAACATCAGAAGATTGGGTTGTCATGGTGTTGTCAGATTGGGGTAGGCCTTCATTTGAGTCATCAGAGTCAGTAGCCTCAGCCTCCTGCAGTGCTACATGTAGTATATCTAAGTACTGTAGCAGACCAAAATGTTCCCTGGCTTGTTGAAGGATGGCTAGGAGTTCCTGGCACTCAGTAACCCTAAGCATGGTGTTGGTAGGTGGTTATCACTTGCTAGATCTCTCTATTGATAAGCATGCACACTTTTCAGTGGAGTTTGGCTTTTAAATTGGAGCATTAATAGCAATATCTACACATCTACCATTTCTGGGTGGCACACTTTTTCTGTGGAGTTTGAATATCCAGTCAGAGCTTTAATAATGGCCCACAAACTCACAACTCAACTGCACTTGAGTTTGCTCACGTGCTTTTTCCACATTTAACTTTGAGCGGCCCTATAAGTAGTTACACATTTAGTGAAGAAGATCAGCACGCAGCTAAGTCGATAACGTTCCCTTAAACTTGGGTAGAAACCTGGCCTTGTTGAGCTTGACGACGCAAACCTCCTTGGTGAAGCTATGCGGAGCTGTACCGACAGTGATAGCAGGCGACCAGACAACGTGGCCGATCATACGCTGGCTCCGCTCACCGAATTCCTTCTTTGTCTGCTCATAAAGCTCGTGAAGCTCATTGATCGTCTCCCCCAGCAGCTCTCGAGTCTTCGTCAGCTCCTTCTTCGCCTTCTTAGCGACAGGGCTATCGCCTGCCGCCCTCCCAAACTCCTGATCAACTCTCTGTGGATCTCCGCTGCAGTGCCAAGGTATCCGATCCGAATCTGAACGGACTTGAGGTAGTCATCCCATGCCTCGGTGCCCATGAGGAGGACTTCCTCAAGAGGCCTCCTGGGACCGTAGGTGTAGTCGGAAATGACCTCATCCGCCGGAAAGAGAACGTGGCGGGTCGTAACCCCACAGAGGTCGTCGCCGCTCTTGAAGTAGAAGCCCATAGTGCCCTGGAAGTGGGGCATCTTCGCGGCAGCGATAGGAAGTCCAGGCGCAGTAGTGAGAGAATCAATGACATGCCTAATTGCATCCAGGTCCGAGGCCGGTTCGTAGAGCTTTCCACCAGCTGAGTGCCTGAACACCGATTCACGGAATTCGATGTCGACGGCTGTCCTTGTCCTCGAGGAGTACGAGTATGGCGTTGGCTGAGTTGAACGCATCTTCACCGGTGAGACTATCAGGAAGAGCGCCAACCCAGATCACGACGGGACTGATAACAGCAGGTGTTCGTTGGTCGGGGACCATGCGGAAATGGACGAGGTCGATGGTTGAAAAGCGGACCTACTGGTGCTTCAAGCGACGATATGCGTCTGGCCCCTTGTGTATGAGGAAGGGATCCTTCGAGGTGCGGTAGACCAGCTTGGGAGGGGAATTGGAGATCCCCGAATAATAGAAGGTGGTCTAGACCTTGGATACAGCGTTGGGAGGGGAGCCAGAAGAGACCCTCGAGACATATCCGTTGTAGAAAAGACTGGGTCGGTGAAGTCCATACCAGTGAGGGAGAGGGTACGGCCCTGGCTAGGGCGATGCACTCTTGAAGGAATGCCGAAGAATTCACTAGACGAGTATCAGTATAAAAGACTGGTACTAGTAACACGTTAAATAACCTGCTTGCTCTGGCCGAATACAACTCGACAATGGAGTCAATCAATGGCTGACGTAAGAGGACATCATGTCGTCAGTACTTGTCAGTATCAAACGAGCCGGTCTCAGGTGCGTATCACCGGGTGTCCACGAGCGCTAAGATCGCTCCCAGTTACTGCTATCGATCGTCACAGGCTATTGGCGTGTTTCCAAGTTGTGGCGACACCGATCAGCCTGCCCATAACAGTAGATTGTGAATCACCCCGTCGACGACATGGCAGCTCAACAAGATCACCAGAACGTGTTAATGAGCGACCAACACCGTCTTTCTGAACAGCTTCAGCTGCTCTATCACTTCGGGTACTCAGATATTGATATGCGTTATCAAGATGTCGGTCATTTTAGCAACAGGCGTAGGCGGAAATGGAATTACACCAAATCCACCATTCGCATTCTCGACACCATCGCGGTCGCACTGACCACCGGCCTGGCCGGAGATGCCTACGCTACTGCATTCGACACTAGTGGGGGTCTCACGCTTGTATTGGCAAAAAACGAACCTGTCACGCATGACGACGATCGCGCTGTTCGTGATTTGTTCATGGTGGTCACCGCTCCCCAGACTTCAGAGCCACGGGACGTTTACCCTTTCCTATTTACTCGTTGCGGGGCAAACATTGCGAAGCGGATCGCGAAGATAGATGACGCTGTGCGCGATATCTCCCCTGCCATCGAGGAAGTCTTAAAGCACTACACACCCGAGCACTCCATCGACAAAGAGTTTCCCCACTCTGCGCTTTATCTCGATCTCCAGTATGGTGGTTAACAAGTCCCATTTGCGCAAATTATGCGTGATCTGTTGAAGGATATCAGGGGTAGGGTTAAAGATATCAACTTAGAGAATCTATCAGCAACGCCAGATCTCTGCATCAAGTACACACACCTTGTGCTCGTCGCCCTCGTTCTCAAAAGGTCCCTTCTGCTACATTCGCTCTGCGAACCCACCGGGGCCATGGATCGCAACCGCAAACTGCAAGCGGAACAGCTGAAACGCCGCCTTGCTAAGGTCTGCCAGTATTATGACGGTATTGCAGACCTCATCACGTATACGAGGCGCTATTTCCCACAAGGCATTGCACATCGCTGGGTCGATCCGATTCGTGACACGGGCGAGACTACAGTTAATCTAGAAGGGAACTACTTGGGGGCCATCGAACGGGCACTCGGCGGTGTTTCTCCCTCGACGGATACTCTAACCACGCTGCGCAGGAAGTTCCCGAACATGGGAGGGTCGTGGAGCGCGAGTCGTTCCATCACGACTCGACTCCACGCCGAAATCCGCATCCTACTTCATCTCAGCAAACCTTTCGATGCTTTGGACCACTCTCAGCAGCAGCCTATCGGATGTAGCAAATGGAGTTGCTTATGCTGCACTTTGTGTATCTGGGCATATAATGACAGGTACAGGACAAATTGGCTGACGTCTGGGTCGCATGGAAAGCCTTACTCCGCTTGAGCTTTGCCTGGTCGTTCCTATGCACATGCTCGGGTGGCAGACGGGCGGAGCGATGTTGATATAGCTGTCATGAACGGGATCCAGCAACGCCTGACTCGGACTATTGCTCAGCTATTTCCAAACCAGAGGAGGCTCTCGGATGAACATCGGTCGAGCGGGTCGGAATCAGAGGGAAGTGACTCGGGAGAGGAGATGACGAAGGAACAGGAACTGAACTCTGGAGTGTCCTGTCAGAACTGGAAACGTTATTTTTAGTACGTGTACACAATGACCATGTAGGTTAGTTTTTGTTTATGTAAACATCTGTTGACGACCCCCACGAAGACCGTCAGTAGCATCGAGGATCTTCGGGCTGTTGTTTTATGTTCTCTGCGCCTATCGTAACAATAAATACCTCTCCCATCAGTCGTTAAGAAAACCATTTTACGTAGGTCTCCTACTTTCCATTATAATGCGTCACTTTATTTGTTGACTTATAAGCGCGTTCGTGAATGAACGGGGTCGCTAGATATTCATTAATTAGCGCACAGGGCAGGATCACCTCGGGTGGAGCTCTCCTATCGGATTGCTCACTTCTTCTGGTATGGGGACATGCGGACGGCTCGCCGCACACACAACTAACGCATTACATGTCTTCGTCAAGCTCAGCCCATTGATTATCCCCTTTCCTCGCCTCTCCGGGTACTCCCTTCCACTTCTACAAGACTGCACCCATGCTAAATGAAACCCACGCTGAGCTGGTTCATCTATCCCCCCCTCCTCTTGTATACGACTGGCGAAGTGTGTGGGTGGCACTAGCTTGAGCCCGCGATCGAACTAATGACGAGTCAACCTTACAACATTATCGTGAGTACCACCATATGTGCGTCTACCAAGTCACCTCGACGGTTTGCTGCACTCGAGAGACCTTCAGATGATGAGTGGTGCCGATTGCTATGTCCCAAATCCGCTCTTCTAGTCGTGAGGGTGAGTGGTTTTGGGTAGATCTCGAACGCGAACATGACTTGACCCCACCACCTCGTGGGTGGACTCCGACACCTCAAGAGCCGCCACAACACGGGATCAAGCTGTACAGTTTGTGTTCGACCCGTGTGCATCCGCTACCGCCCATCACTTCTTCGAATGAGAAATTACACGTCAAACACTACGATGGAAGCAAAACCGGGAACTCGGCCTCGGTGGACACTAGCACGCTGCATTGGAAGTTCCAAAAACATGGGAGAGATGTGGCGCAAGAGTCGTTCCTCGCATACGAAACGCAAATGTGGTATGTATCGTGTGGTAGTTTGCTTCTCTTCGTTTTATCACTGCGGTTTCTCGTGTTTGCTACAGGCATGCTTGTTGACGACCACCACGAAGACACCGTCGAGGATCTCCTGGCTCTCGTTTGCTTCTCTCTGCCTATCGTCATCCCCCATTAGTTATCGTGCAAATTATGATTTATGCTTTCTATTCCGATACATCTCTCTACTGCTCGTGAATTTTTCACTCCATCTAGCCTAGCAATGACGTGTGGACAGTACCGTATTTATAGCCCATACATTCTACGGCTTCGTGATGGTCAGTACTTCCCTCTCCTTTCCTCCACGCACTCCCTCTCATCTCTCCACCCATACAATACCTCTCCCCCACGGCACTCATCGAACGTACCCTCCGTCTCATATACTGCTTGCGATCGTATGCAGGTGGTATCAGCTTGAACCCACAATTGTGATATCGACGAGTCGGGCTTGTAACATTGTCGTAGGTACGTACCATATACAAGCATCCGCCCAGTCACCTCAGGGTGCATGTTGCATTCCACTTTTGTTTATCAACTACTTCCGCAGCATAGTAATAGGATCGATACCACAGCCTGCGGTCGAAGGGTGCGTTGGCGTGTGAACCGTGCTTCGCCTGGCGGGCTTTCCAACGATAAGTGGATCCAATTGGTATATTCCAGCTTTGCTCTTCCAATATGTGTACGATCTTCTATCAACACCCAGAACAGGCATGCGGTACGTCTCACCGCATCATGACAAAAATACGCTCAATATGAGAAAGATTTAGGACTCCTCGATCGTGCACAGATATATCGCTTAGGTAAACCGGCAGGTGCCTTTTGCCGCTATGGGCATAACATGCAAGCTATCTGCAGCCACAAACACTCGGAGCGACACAGAAAAGTGACTTATCCCCATCTCTGATCATGAAATTCATCACGGCAGACATGCATCTGGTTATTGTATTAGCTTTGTTCCCATACCTCGTTCTCTGTCGTACAGTATGAGATAATAACTGGGAACAACTGCCACAGATGACAACATATTCAATATCCAAACCTGTTTGCTATCACATCACCTCTTCTCTTGTCTTTCCAGTTGGTATCCTGATTCGAGGGGAAAAGAATGGTTTCTTCGTTGCATCTACTATCACGGTCCCGTTTTGGCCATTTATTTACATCATCATGTCCAACAGTATACATGAATATTGCTTCACATTGGCATATAAATGGATTTCAAGCGATTACAAAGCTGAACTCAAAACAACACCAATGTAATATCAAGGTACGAGGCCGGTGGTGATGATGCACATACACATCGACGATGCTCGCCCTGGTCCGAATGTGCTCTCTCTTTCGGTTTGCGAGATAAATTCGGGTACTGGGATCAGGGCGGCGTTTCAGGTGCCTATTCTGGTGCAGTCGGTGATGTATGACAACCCAGATGCAGGTATAGACGGACTGAGCGGATGGACACTTGTTAGGGTCGCGCAACTATAATAGGATTTGCACTGCCTACCCCTCCTGACTTCGTTGACGCCCCCTTCCAGATCCGGTCTCCGGCGCCTCTGTTCCCTGCCCAGTCCCGCACGCCATTGTCTCGGTTTTGGTTCGCTTGGTCATGCTCATCCCAGAACTAGTAGTTCCGTGACGCCCTTCGCGCCTTCCTTGGTCTGCTTCATGTCTTCCACAGACGTTCCGATCCCATCAGTTGCTTGGTGGTCTCATTTCTGCCTGTACTTCCCTATTCCTTCGTTTTCTACCTCACCGTAAACTTGGACGCGGATCACTCGCAGCGCGACTCTAGGAACGAAGATTACGAGCGCCTACTGCTGCGGCTGAATATGATCCAGGCTAAGCCGGGGTGAATGTACCAGCCCTCCGGTTAGTACGATTGTCACTCGCGTCGTACTTGTCCATTCCACATTCAGCCATCAGATTTCTCCAGACTTCTGGTGCCTTTGTTGTCCTGCCGGCGTACGGACCACTGGCAGCCCTTGTTGTTATTCTTGTGTTCTTACCAGAAGTGTATTGCAGAATCTGTTCGAGAACGCGCCCACACCCGGAGTTTAAAATATGAGGACCTACATATGAGCCATACTTATTGAGGTGCGCACTGCTGGGTGCACTCTCCCAGCTATTGCTATCGACCATCGCAGGTTATTGGTGTGTTTCTGGGTTGTGGCGACGCTGACCAGCCTGCCAATAACAGCAGATTGTGAAACATTCCATCTGCGACATGGCACCTCAACAAAATCACCAGGACGTGTTGATGAGCGACTAACGCCGTCTTTCCGAACAGCTTCAGCTGCTCTATCACTTCGGGTACTCAGATATTGATATGCGTTATCAGGATGTCGACCGTCTTAGTAACAGGCATAGGCGGAAATGGTATGGCACCAAATCCACCATTCGCATTCTCGACACCATCGCGGTCGCACTGACCACCGGTAGGCCCGGAGATGTCTTCGCTGCTGCATTCGACACCCATGGAGGTGTCACGCTTGTCTTGGCAAAGAACGACTCTCCCACCGCTGAAGACGACCGGGCTGTTCGTGACTTGTTCAGGTGGATCACCACTCCTGAGACTACGGGGGCATATGACGTCTTGCCTTTCCTATTTACTCGTTGCGGGGCAAACATTGCGAAGCGGATCGCGGAGATGGGTGATGCTGTGCGCGGTTTCTCCCATGGCCTCGAGGAAGTCTTAAGGAACTACACACGCGAGCCCTCCGTCGACAAAGAGTTTCCCCTCTCTACGGATTATCTCGATATCCGAGCCCATGTACCTAGTTAGGCCGTGTGACACGGCCAGCGGAGGTTGACAATTGGTCGTGTGACATGGGCCAGCGGAGGTCGAGCCGACCTACGAGTTGTCACCGTAACATAGGGATCGGCTGTGATTATGTTGTCATGTGTCATTCAGGATTGGCTACAATTGTATTGTCATGCATGACACCAGAATTGGCTACAATTATATTTTTAGGTGTCACATGGAGAGGCTTCAAATAGAATATCATCATGTCATAGGGACATATATAGCATAACCCAGACTAGATCTGCATTGTGTACATAGGGCAGCCCAACATGACAACACAGTATGTCTGGGGATTTGCCAACATCTTCCCTGGCAGTCTCATCCCCACCTAGATCATTGCTGGCATCTGCACAAATTCCACAAACTGTGCCATCTCCTGTGGTTCATGCATATATGGATGAGTGGTTAGATGGTGCAGCAGCCTCTGAGCCACAGCTCATCCCAGCTATATCACAGCAACCATCCCCCCAGCCTATGGCCACCAATGCTGCTGCTGGTGAGTGCCATGTCATCTCTTGTTGCCACCAGTATTAAGTGTATTAGCTCACTTTTTGGTGCTGCAATGTTTCTCCAGTGACTTGGGTATACAAGGACTTCATGATGAAGGGCCAATTACAACATGTAAGTTGTTTTATGATATCCCTCACATATATATCAATCATCCAGCAGTGGAAAAAGCATGGCAGCTTGTGGTTCAGTAGGAACATTGTCATCAGGCCACTTTGGTGCCTTCCACACCTGTTTTGATTGCTGCATACCCCTCGCACTGTCTATGCTGGTCTGGTGCATGGGTACTAGGATTGAGAGATAAATTGAATCCACAATTCAGTGACTGCAGCACAAGTACTGACTCATTGATGGAATGGGCAACTTGCATTTTGAATCTTCCTGTTTATGGTCTCTCCTGATAGTTGTTGGCACTGCCAAAGGATCTGCCAGGTGGACTGAATCAGGTGAATCAATGTGGCAGGTGTCAGGCACAGGTTGCACAGGGCTTGTGATGCTGCCCTCAACCTGCTGCAAGGCATTTGATGGTTCCTTGCTGATGGCTGAAACATGTCAGCCATTAATGTTAACAATATTTGGCTGTTGTGATCCTGCTGGCTTACCAATTGGCTGGCAGGTGTTACCCTCAGCCACTTGGCATCCAGCAATCCACTGCTGGGAATACAGCAATGGTACTGCCTCTGCAGCATCTTCATCCACCATGCTTGTGCCTGTACTGTCATTTCTGTTTGATGGCAATGTTGGTGGAATTTGACAGAGATTGGATTCATTGTCAGAATCAGACCCTACAACTTTGTTCCCCATTAGATAATATTGCTGCACATTTAAGTTCCAGTTGCATTCCTTCATACCTGTTTGCCATTGCAGCTTCCTCCTACCCCACATCATTTTATCCATTGTCCTTTTGCCTGCTGAGTGTTCTGGTCTCCCATCCAAATCCTGCTTTGCACACATCCTTGCTCCACTGCTGTTGGCTTCTGCCACCAGCATTTGGAGGGACCCTCCAGCATCTCTCCACTTCTTGAAGCTGAATATATTGTTGGGATGCCACTCTTTTCTCTCTTGCCACCATTCTAAGATCACTGTCAACTCATCCTGGGTAAGTCAACTCAGCTCTTTGAAGGGAACCTCAGGTGGTAGAAACTGTGGTGCAATATAAAGTGCAGTGTTGGTCATTATCACACTCCATGGAACAGTCACCTGTGAATTCCTGCAGGCCTTTCCTGTAATGCATTTCAATGAACAGTATTTCCCCTATTGTTATACATATGATAGTGAAATGTCACAAACATCTGCATGATATCCTTCAACTTTGGTGCCTGCATGTCCAATATGTTCAGGATGTATGGTGTGCTGTTTTTGCTGACTGGCAGGATGGTTTTAGGTTTCCCATTGCTCTTTCTCTGCCTTAACCATGGAGCAGCATCTTCATCTGGTGACTCAGCATCAGTGCCACCATTCCCAAATGCCATTTATGCTTACTTTACAAATTTATCCTGGCACTTGTCCAACTCCTCAAGTAATTTGCCATTACCCAATTCATTGTTGAAATCATGTCTGGATGAGTTGGTCAAAATCTGGCAGTACTCATCTGCACAAAGAACAAATTCCTCACACTCCAACTATCACCTCTCCATCGGCATCTTCCCATACTGCCATCACTACCACCCTGGCACCACACTGCTTCCACATTTCCTTAGCAAATTCCTTGGCATATTTATGGCCTTTCTTCTCTGCAGTTCTGTTTCTTGTGAGTGATGGGCAGCATTGCCAAATGGTATGTACTCTGACTGAACATCCTGAGGTGGCTGCTGCTCATTCCATTCTTTGGCCAATGTCTCAGCCTCCTGTATCTCCTTGGCAGTAAGGGACTTCATGATGGTGTTGACAGCCTTCTGATAAGACTTGATCATTTCTGCAGATCCCTGCTTGATACTGGCTTCTTCCAACACTTTGTTGATTGATTTCTTTTGATGGTGCATGACCACCTTCCTCAGTGTCCAACTACCACCATATTTGATCAGAGCCTGTTGACTACAGCTCTGGCCATGGTTGTACAACCAAGTCTGAATTGCCTGGAAATGGTAAGGACATGCCAGGTAATCAATCACAGGTGTGGCACACCTGCTTCTGAAGAACCCATTCATGCATTTTCAGCATCACATTTGCATCAAGGTTCTTTATCTTGTTTCTGAGGGTTAACATGATGGAGCTCCTCTTGTTTCAGTCAGCATTTTTCCATGACTCTAGCTTGGCCTCAAGAATCTCAATTTCAGCCTGCTGAAGACTGGTTCCCTTTTGCAGCAGGGAGGGTTCAGTGTTGTTGGAGAAAGAGTCATTTTTGTAGTCACTGGATGTCATTGATGATGGAGGTGCTTGTGTGCAAATTTTCTGGGGACAGCTAGTACAATGTCTGTTGAAGAGAACAGACTTCTCTGGCATTCTCCCATGTCAATGAAGGTTACATTTCCATGTCTAGTCCATTCTTGCATGCCAGTTGATTGGACAGTTTCCAAAGATGGCTAAGGTTGTTAGTCAATCATGAGATTTCCATCCCTGAGCCATGTGCAAAGGTGGTGTCTCTCAGACTGCATGGATATGAGATCTTTGGTAATTGGGCAATGTGCATTGAGAAACTGGATGGTATAGTCACTATGGGCATGATGTAGGACAAGGCTTTTTGCAAGTGCTCATTCATTTCATTGATCTCTAGGCAATGTGCAGGTGCCAGCGCTGGAATCATGTGCCAGATCCTAAGACAGCATTACCATAGTTGGTGGTCAGACCTTGCTAGCACATGTTGGCTGCATGTATTTGTTGTGATCAAAACCCTTCTGCATTGCAACATTCATCATGGGGAAGTCAAAGATTGCACCAGTGGGACCTGCTACAAGAGTGACCCAGGTGACCTGGAAATGAGTGAATACCACCTGAGGATATAGGGATAAGACGGTAAAAGTAGCACCCAGAAAGCAGGTGCCAGGCCATGCAACTCAGCTGCCTGTGTGGCCTGGCTCTGTTATCCTGGATCACCTGGACTGCCTGTTGGATGATGTGGGTGAACAACTGCCTTCCAATAATGATGTATTGCCTGCAACACCTTCTAAACCTTGGAAAAGTCAGGTGTGTGGAATGCTGAATTGCCCCACAAACCTGCAATGACAGTGTCACACAATTGTAGAATAATTATCTGCAGCAGTGGTTGCCACACCAATGGCACTATCTAGCCATCCTGTTGGACATGGAGGCCCCACCTGAGCCAAGGGATTGTGTCCTGTGTGGAGCAGATGGAATCTTCCAGTGCATTGAGTGTGCCCATTGGCTGGTCTTCTGCACCATGTGTTTCCAGGCAGAACACAAGCACTGGCCATTCCACAGGGTGGAACAATGGAATGGCACATTCTTTGAGGAATAATCCCTGTGGCTGGTAAGCAGCTGAATCATGATGGTTGTTCCTGTATTTACCATTCAGGCCAGTTTGGTACTGCATGTTGGGCATGGTGGGAAGCACTGCCCGGCCAGTGGTTGTTCAAATGATGAAGTCACAGCTGAGGAGGAAGATGATTGGGAGGATGTGGATCAAGATGGTTGTCCACCAAATCTGCAGGCCCTGAAGAACCAAAGCTGTCTAATTGTCATGCACACCAACAGAATACACTACTGCAATGTGCAGTATTGTAGACGCCCTGGGGCAGAGGATTCACACATACAGCTGATGTGGGCTGGGATGTTTCCTGCTACCACAAAGGCTGCAAGGACTGCATTTACCTTCCAAGTACTCCCTGACTTTGTTCAGGACAATGTGGAATGTGGTACCTCAGTGATGAATTTCTACAGCAAACTTCGCTGCATAACCTCCAATGCCTTTCCTCATCTGGTGCCAGTGCATCTTATTTGTTGAATTGTATCACTGCAACACAACTCTTAGCTGGATGATAGGATAGGTACAGGGAACTGCTGAGAGTTGCTAGGATGTGGCAGCTCCTGAAACTACTGAAATGGCAGGGATCCCACACAAGTGCAGAAGATGCTGGCCCTGGGGAATTAGTGTTATTCTGTCCAGCATGTCCTCAGCCTGGCATCAACATTCCTGAAGATGAAACAGATTATTCCCAGTGAGTGATAACATGAACACTGCTAGCCATTTATACAATGTGTAATCCAGTTGGACACTGGCAAGAAGCTTGGTCATGGATGGGAATTTCAAGGCAGAGCATATGCATCCAAAGGATGCTGGCAGTGAAGCCTGGTTGATAGATGGAAAGGGGTACATGGTCACATCACAGCCATACAAGGAATATTTGAGCAGCACTAAAAATGTGGTTGAGGTGGGTGATGTGTAGGAATGTATTATCTGATGGACTGATCACACTACAAGATCTTGGATTGCAGCAATCATCAGGCAGTTAATCAAGCAAATGCCAACTGGCAGCAGCTCGCATCTACAGGGATAGGTGGATGTGCCTGTGTGTGGCATGGCTGTTTTGTGCCACATGCAATGGTTGACTTCCAGAAGGGCAAACAGTATGAATAACCTTGTAACAATGTATGACAATATTGACATTGACATCACAGGCAGGTTAACATGGACTATGCACTTGTGCATGCCATCAGGCATGGCACAGTCCCTGGCCAGCAAGTGATACATTTCTATGATATTAACTGCCAGTATAGCAAAGGTTTAGAATGATGGCTACATGCCAATGCCTATATATCCATGCCAGATGGCATGTGGATCTGCCCTGGCATTGGGTTGTGGCATGTTCATGGCCACCACACAGAATGCTCTGCACAATATGCTCCCAATTTCATTGTGGGTGCTGGCTGGGTGGATGGGGAGATCATGGAAACATTGTGGTCCTCCCTGAATATCATTTCCCCATCTGCTAGAGGCATGGCCACTCCCCATCGGCAGGAGGTACTTGATTTCCAAATGAATGATAGCAATTTCCTGAAAATGGTCAGAATGCATAAGTCTAGTGCTTGTATCAGACATGGTTGCATGGCTAACAGGCTACAGCAATGAGACTCAAGTGGAAACTCAAGGTTGCTGAGGAATCTTATTTAGTGGTTGAAGGCAGGTTTGCTGATTTGAATGGTAATGTCCCACTGGCAATCAGCCAATCATGGGGGGAAGAAGTGGCAGTGGCATTAGAAAACCAGCTATCAAGGCCACAGGCCATGAATATATATGAGGTCAGGCTGCAGAAAGGTAGGTAATGAAGGTTAACCTGGACAGGATTTGTGCTGAGTGGTATTGAAGCTCCCTCTGCAAAGGCAATCAAGATAGATTTACTGGCCATCCCCCAGCCAGGGCATTCACAGGGTATGGTGACCTGGATTGTGAAGGCATTGAGGATAGAGGAAGCACAAATCCAGCTTACAGTGGCATGACAGCACATCACCTCAAGAATGACAGAAGCTCAAAATCTCACCATTGCATGTTGCCATGATCATCTCCAGTCCCATATACATGGCATTTTTGACACTGCCAAAATACTATTTGGGGACAGATTCAAGGATGCTGAGCTGTGCCAGTCATCTAACCCACATGATCCAGAAACTGAATGATCTGACCTGGGGTATGTGACAATAATGGAGCTGCAACTGCAGCAAGGACAGGCCAATGATTGTCTTCATGAACTGCAGCTTGTGCTTGCAGAGAAGGCAGTCATCTTTTGAACTGACATTCACCATGGAAGTAATTACCACATGGCCATGCGTGCCTGGGGAAGGGTGGCCAATGCTGAAGCAGCAGTGCAATGTCATGCTGCTGTGTACTGCCAGTGCTGCATTCAAATGGGCAGGTTAGGGGCCAGGCTGGATATCCTGGAGTGATACAAAGAGTTGAATGACTCCAACCTAACTATCAGCATGGCAGTATCTGACCCAAATGCCAGAGGTCACAGAGATGATACCCTACCTTGGATCTGGACAATGGATGTACCAAGGGACACAGCCGCTAATGATTGGATGTCAGAATGTGAGAGGAGCAATCACATGGCAGCAGCATCTGAGATTTACTTATCATTTTTTCTAGTCTACAGGGTCAATTGGCTCTGGATGAGGGCACTGTGGGACAGATGGAAGGAGGAGGTTCAGCTGTTGAAATGCAAGCAGGAGTGGACTAAAAACTTCTTTGAAAACAAGGTAAGATTTTGGACTGGCAGAAAGGCTGCCATGTTGGAAAAGGGACAGGCTGGGCTGGCATGCTATGCCAGATGTATGGCGGATTAGCATGTCTTCTGTGAACCATTTCCATCTAGAGACCACTAGCTATCTGCAATGACATCATTTTTGAGATCTCCCAAATGATGCTGGGGTTATGGATCACATATTGGTTGGTGTAGTTGAATGCAAGCTGAGCATTTGCTAATGAGTGCTGCCTTAACAGCAGACACATGCCACCACACAAAGCCATGGGAAAGTTGGCCAATGCTTATATAGTATGACATCTCATCTTTCATGCTGGTAAGTCATGTCATCACCATTCACCATGGCTGAACTCTCCATGGCCATACAGTACTTGGGAATAAGGTTTTGTTGCCTTGTTGCCACCATGAAGAAGCTGGATTGGTCTGAATACTGGCACACTAGTTTGTATCAACATTTCCTGGCAGAAGCAGTAAGCCACTGTTCCTGTGGTGGTGCAATGGTTGATAGTGGTACAGGGTACAATGGAGCATCTGATGGGCATGGCATCTTGCCATCCCATTACCCTGATCATGCTGCTCACAGCTGACAGGCTGTTAACACACCTGAATGATGGCAATCAGAGTCCCCATGACATTTTAGCTTTCATCAGAAGCTTGAATCCCCACCTGACTAGGATTAAGGAGTGCCATGTCAAACTGGCCACTACCATGTCCCATGCATGGTGGCAGAACAACAGTGGCAAAGTGGAATTGGAATATGAGAGGAGACCTCTGCAGAATGTAATTACAGAAGCTGTGGAATTTTTCACAGGAGTATTGGTAAGTGGCAGCACACCTTTGCTCACTTCCAACTCACCTGTTGTATCAGAATGGTGGCATCTCACTACCACTGCTTATTAATTCACATCCATCACCCACTGCCAAACATGCTGCACTACAGGTGATGTGCACAGAAGGCTTGAAGGATATTGATCAAGAGTTATTGTATCTTTCCAAGTTAATCTTACATTCACAGGAGTGGATGTCATCACTGGAAGCTGTTACCCAATCTAAACTTGCTTTACAGGTTGCATGGGTGGAGTCAGTGTTGAACATGCAGGAATGAATATACAGCCTCTGTACATATTATCAACCATCTATAATGAGTTTACTTTGGGGCTGGTAGCTTTACCTTATCAGAATCTATGGCAGTAAATGAATAGGGGCATTCCCTTGATCAATGGGTCTTTTGTGTACTCTTCTCCCTGTGGCCCCAATCATGTCAACATCATTCTTGGGCTGGCAGTCTATAAAGCTATCCACCAGGTTCACAGTCAGAGATCTGTGATGTGCCAGCACCATTGAACCATCTCCAGCATGGTGCTCAAAAACTGCCCATTCAAAGATGCCACTAGCAAAACTGGCTGGTCATCTGGACCTTGATTCATGTTGCCAGCAGTATCAGAAATGTGCAACCCCCAATTGGAACATGTGGAAGGGGCTAATATCTTCTGTAATGTATACTTCAGTGGCATTCATGGTTGTTCAAGGTTGTGTTCCAGCCAGGCTGCATTCCAAAATGCTGATGATGCTGTGTTCTTGTTGCTGCAGAGAGCTTCTATGCCACATTTAGTTCAATGTTACCACATTAGTCACTACCATTGCTGGCAACATTGGCCACACAATTGTTGCAGCCAGAGGGATCCATGCCATGTGTATTCCTCACATCTCTGGACGATATCCTCCTTGTTGCCAGTGGATTCCCTTAACTTCCCCAACCTGATTGCATTAGAAATGTCTGGTACCAGCACATTCCCATCCAACTATCTACTTTCTGACCAGCTTGCAGAGTACATGCACTGCTGAGTTCTCCATGAGACACATCCTTGCACTGCCACTGTCCCACCACAACCTCTCGAACTCAAGATTCAGACATGTATTGTGCTCAATCAAATGGTGGCAACACTGGCCCAGGCCTATCATAATCCCCATATGCCATTTTAAGAGAGCTGCCACATGTCCCACTAACATTTATTGCAGTTCCCTCTGGCATTGAATTAATCAGGCTGTTGGAAAGCTTATTGCCTTGAGAAACAGGTTTCAATTTGAACTGGGAGGCCCGCATCCTTTCCACTCACCCACTGTATCTGAGTGGGTATTTGGATGTTCCTGCAATCATTCTGGGTGAAGGGGATGCAATTGCTTTGTGGTATCTACCCAGTGCAATGTCACAATCAATGCAGGTAGGCATTGTGATGTATCCTGCTGTCCTCAGTTCACAACCCTATCAAGGACCAGATGATGGGAGCTATTCCCCCACTTTCCAATATGTTGACTCAAAGCATATCCCATGGTTCCTGGTGAACATCACCCAATTACTTTCTGGTGGATCACTGTTTGCTGGTGGGCTGCTTAGAGCTTTCACCAGCCTGGCATCAACTTGGTCATGCTGTGAGAGTCATCCTTGTGTTTCATCTCAAAATACTCATTGCTAATGCTGTAGACACTGGCACACCAGCCTTCCATATCTGCTGACCTTGTGGCTCCAGCCACTTGGCAATGGATCCATGCTGTCCAAATGCCATTGGCAATTCTCTCTGCTACACTTTCAATTATGCACCCTCCTTTGTACAATGCCGGTTGCCAAGCCATGTGGCAGCTGACTGAGTGGTCTTCCATGAATGATCCCAAAATGTCAGCAGTCCTCCGACACTGGCCAACAGTTTACACCAACATCTCCATGATTGCTAACTGGTTGGCTCCCCTCCATTGTGACCCACAATCCTGTGCCGACTGGTATGCCATGCTCATTAGTGTCAGCAATTATTCTGAATGCATTCTTGACATTCCCTCTCTTGGTCTTCAATTCAATTACTGGCCTGGCACTGTTGTAGCCTTTTCTGGCTGGCTTTTGTGGCATAGTGTGAATGATGTGAGTGGCAACCGTTGCTCACTAGCATTTTACATGTGGGACAATATTCACAACTGGCTTGGAGTCCCTTGAAGTGATTGGATGTGCATTCCATTGGTGTGGCAGGCTCTCACAGGCATGTAATGCACCCATGGCACCCTGTATTGTATTGTATTGGTCCTTATTTAATGCCCTGGGAGTCCAGTATTTGATTGGCACAATCCCAGTTTGAATGAAATCTATGAAATCAATGCAATATTACTAGCCACCCTTCTGTGATCATATGAAGTATAGGTTATGATCTTATACTGGTGGTAAGATATGCAGTATACTGACAATTCATGCTATGCTTCATGTCCATATCTATAGCACCCTAGCTGTGTGCTGCTGTATACAGAACTATCCATGCTGGATGCCATGTGCTGACATGAATCCTACTCAATCGGGATGTGTGCTGTGGTATGTTGGGTCAATGCCATTGGCTGCTGAGAACTGCCAGTTTATTCTTCTGCATCTAACTGTGTGCTGCTGTATGCAGAACCATCCATGCCACACATCAAACCTTGATGTGGATCCTAAGGCAGTCAGGTGTTTACCACTGTTTGCCATGCCCATGCCGCCAGCTGCCACCACATTGCCAGCATGTGCTGAGCAATATCTGCTGGCCACCATGACCCTCCAGAGACTCCTGGAGCAGGTGCCACCAGGTGCCATGGTACATGTTGCCACAACTTCCCCATGAATTATGCTGCATGCTGCAATGTGCCATAATGTGGAATGCCATATCTGTCAGATGCTACTGCTTCCAAATACAAGGTGCTGCACTGCTGAGCTATCCTGAAGCATGCCGAGGTCTTGTGCCAACTTCCAGTGCTGATCTACACATGCTGCAGCATGCCACTGGATAGGTGACATCTCACACTAGGCTACTCCAGGTACTACAGGGACAATTTGATTATGGCCTACTCATGTGTTATTTGATAATAGAAGCTGGGCTGGTCCATACAGCAGGGGGATGACTCAATGTAGGGCTCGACCTCCACTGGCCCATGGGACACAGCCAATTGTCAGCCTCTGCTGGCCCTGTCATATGGTACAATGTAGGTACATTATGTGGATCTCCAGTATGGTGGCCAACAAGTCCCATTTGTGCAAATCATGCATGATCTGTTGGGGGGTATCATGTGTTGGAGATATATTCTCCCCTGTGTTCTGCTCACCTGGGTGCGATGTTTGGGTGCTTACATAATCACCTTAGAGCGCACATTTTACAGTAGTTTATTCACTGTTCCCTCAGTAGCTTGTTGCACTACTGAGGGTAAGCTCACTTTCACTACCAGTATTATACTTACTGATATCCTGTAGATACCTACAGGTTGGTCTAATACATTAGTAGCTTGTTGCACTACTGAGGATACCTACAGCATCCTTCAAAATCATGGACAGGGTTGGAGATTTCACCCTACAGAATATATCAGCAATGCCAGACCTCTACCCCTGCTACATAATGCTTGTGTTCATTGCCTTTGTTCTCAAAAGATCCCATCTTCTACATTCACTCCATGAATCCACCAGTCCTATGGATTGCAACCACAAACTACAGGTGGAATGACTTAAATGCTGCATTGCTAAGGTCTGCCAGTATTACAATGGTATTGCAGAGCTTGTTGGTCTTACAAGGCACCATTTCCTGCAAGGAATTGCACATCGCTGGGTCGACCTGATTTGTGACACAGGTGAGACTACAGTTTATCTGGAGGACAACTACTTGGTGGCCATCAAACAGGCACTCAGTGGTGTTTCTCCCTCAATGGACACTTTAACCATGTTGCACAGAATGTTCCTGAACATGGGAGGGATGTGGGGTGCCAGTCATTCTATCACAACTTGACTTCATGCTGAAATCCACATCCTGCTTCATCTCAGCAAGTCATTCAATATTTTGGATTGCTCCCAGCAGCAGCCTATTGGATGTAGCAAACAGAGTTGCTTATGCTGCACTTTGTGGATCTGGGCATATAATAACAAGTACTGGACCAAGTTGCTGATGTCTGGGTCACACAGAAAGCCTTACTCCTCTTGGGCGTTGCCTGGTTGTTCCTACACACATGCTTGGGTGGCAGACAGGCAGAGTGATGTTGATATAGCTGTCATGAGAGGGGTCCAGGAACACCTAATTCAGACCATTTTTCAGTTATTTCCAAACCAGAGGAGACTTTCTGATGAATATTGGTTGAGTGGGTTGGAACCAAGGCAAAGTGACTGGGAAGTGGAGATGTGGAGGGAACTTAGGGAAAGCCAGACTTTTACTGTGCTCTGTGAAATCATGTGTTGGAAAGTTATTTAGTTCATTGCAATGATGTCAGATTTTTACATGGTGATAATCAGTTTATGATAAGATTGTATGTGGGAGTGTGGGGTTGCAATTTGCTGGCAAGGTCATTGCAATGCCCTTCACAATAGCAGCTGCTACTGAATCTGCCCCCCATTTCCCTTTCCACTTGTTCTTCTCCCTGTACCAACTGTCTTTTTTCTCAAGGACCACATTCCTTTCATTTACCAACAATATGCCTCCTGAAAAGCAAACTGTTTCATGCAAATTGTGTGGGAAATCATTCAAGCCAACTGGAATAGGTCCTCATCACAAATCATGTCTCAAGCAAATCTGCAAAACACATGAAGATTCTGCTCATTTTGACTTGCTTCATTAACAAGGTGTGCCAGGTTTCTATTGGCTGAATTTCCTGATTTATTGTTGGGGATCTGTTCTGGCACAGGTGAATGTTTGTGAGGATGACTTGCTGTTGATAATCATCCAGACTTAGCAACTGGATCCACCACTGTGGCAAATGTGGGACCAGCACCTAGTAAGTATCCTGTTACCCTTTGGATTGTGTTCTCACAACTGTTTGCAGAGCCTGCAGTGTTATGGCCCATGGTTATGGATTTTGAGTCAGTGGCTAGCATTGTGGGTGCAGATGACCTGGTGGATGGTGCATGTTGATGTTCAATTTGTATCATTCATATTGATTCACTGTGCAGCTGTTGAACCTGAGGCTGATATCAATGTTGATGATATCTGAGTTGAATACCACCCAAATGCTGGCAAGCCAACTGTAACAGTGCCATTTGATGAGTTCAGTCAAGGCCATGTACCCAAATCATACACCCCTGATCCCTGCATGGCTCTGTGGTATCCATTTCACACTCATCTCAATTTCAACCTTTCAGAATTCATCTGTGGGGCTGCTCTTAACAGGGAGCAAACTAATTTTATCCTCAAGCTTTCAAGACATTTTTGTACTGAGGAGTGCACCCTAGAAACTTGCAACAATCTTGAGAGTACTTGGCAGGCTGCTTCCCATCACATGGTGATGGTATCTATTGTTAACTTACTATTACTGCCAACACTAATCACACACTAGTCCAGTTTCAGGAAAGTGTAATAAGTGCACCATTTGCAGGCAAGATGATGGAGTTTGAAGTGCACTATCATTCACTGTGGGATTGGGCTTCTGATCTTTTGAAGGATACCAGTGTGGGGCCACATTTTGTATTCAATGCTCAGTTACTCCAGTCACCCCCCCAGGGGACCTATTAGGTTCATATATTCATATAGATGTATCCACCTAATAGGTGTTGACCACCTGGGTATTCCCAGTGACTGCTGGAGATTCTCCAGAGCAAGGTGTCAGACATGGACTTTCTCCAGGATTATTACATCTATAACAGAGTGCCTGGGGTCCAAATGGGGCTTTCCCCAGTGGGTTAACAGACCTATGTCCTGGGTATCCTGGGGGATTCTCCAGCCTAAATGGACCTGTTCTCTGGGCATGCTGGGGGATTCCCCAGCATAAATGGACCTGTTTTCTGGGTAAGCTGGGGGATTCCCCAGCCCAAATGGACCTGTTCTCTGGGCATGCTGGGGGATTCCCCAGCATAAATGGACCTGTTTTCTTGGTATGCTTGGGGATTCCCCAGCCCAAATGGACCTGTTCTTTGGGCATTCTGGGGGATTCTCCAGCCTAAATGGACTGGTTCCCAGGGCATGCTGGGGGATTCTCCAGCCTAAATGGACCTGTTCCCTGTACATCCTGGGGGATTCTCCAGCCTAAATGGACCTGTTCTCTGGGCATGCTGGGGGATGTCCCAGCTTAAATGGACCTGTTCTCTGGGCCTCCTGGGGGATTCCCCAGCCTAAATGGACCTGTTCTCTGGGCATGCTGGGGGATTCCCCAGCCTAAATGGACCTGTTCCCAGTGCATCCTGGGGGTTTCCCCAGCCTGAATGGACCTGTTCCCAGTGTGTCCTGGGGGTTTCCCCAGCCTGAATGGACCAGGTCCCAGAGCATCCAGCCCAAACAGACCTATTCCAAGATGATCATGGGAACCTCCAGTTCAAATAGACCACCATCACAGCATGAAGGATCAATCAAAATGTTTTGGAGTCTCCATGTTGCTGACCAGAGTGTGTATCATGCCAAGTACCTATTTCCATGTTATCTGATCTAAGCACTCTATACAATATGTGAAAAAGCATGGCCATAGACCACTAAGGAAAGATTGGTGACATCTGATGGAGGGAATAGAATATACTTGGTGATAGTGATTGCCCAGGAACAGCAGACATACTTTCACCATGCTTCCCAAGGCTTCAGTGATCTCCAGTCTTGGCCATTGCATACAAGTCAAAGATTGTCCAGGTGCCATTGGAATTTTCCCACCCACTCTGGGGATCCACAGGGTATGCAGCAGATCCTCCAGGCAATGCTTGGAATTTCCCAGCCAACTCCTGTCTCTAGAGGCTCTCCAAGCAATGCTGGGGATTCTCCCACCCACTCTGTGGATTCTCCAAGCTATGTCCTGGGGATTCTCCAAGCACTGCTGGGGATTCTCCAACTGACTCTGGGGATTCTCCAAGCACTACTGGGGATTCTCCAGGCAATGCTGGGGATTCCCCAACCCATTCTGGAGATTCTCCAACTGACTCTGGGGATTCTCCAGGCAATGCTGGGGATTCTCCAACAGACTCTGGGGATTCTCCAACCCACTCTGGGGATTCTCCAGGCAATGCTGGGGATTCTCCAACAGACTCTGGGGATTCTCCAACCCACTCTGGGGATTCTCCAGGCAATGCTGGGGATTCTCCAACCCACTCTGGGGATTCTCCAAGCACTGCTGGGGATTCTCCAACTGACTCTGGGGATTCCCCAGGCAATGCTGGGGATTCTCCAACCCACTCTGGAGATTCTCCAAGCACTACTGGGGATTCTCCAAGCACTGCTGGGGATTCTCCAAGCACTGCTGGGGATTCTCCAACCCACTCTGGAGATTCTCCAAGCACTGCTGGGGATTCCCCAACCCACTCTGGAGATTCTCCAAGCACTGGTGCGGATTCTCCATGTTATGTCCAGGGGATTCTCTAACCAACTCTGGTATGTCTATGTTAGTAGCTACTGAGAACTCTTCCCCCTGAAGCCTAGGGCAGAGCCCTATGCCTGTCACATGGACATCATAGCTCTAGTGGATGTCTGGTTCCATGGATTTCACATTCCTATCTCACACATAGCAGTTTGCACCTAAATCTAATCTGTATTTATGATAGGGTATGCTATCAGATTGAGTATGCATAGGTGTGAGGAGAAAATGAATGGTCTTGTAAGGGTATTGTAGTTATGATGGTAACAAAAAGACCATGGTGGATAATGGACAAAATGAATGATGGCAGACATTACACAAAGGAAGGATATGCAGGGGGAAGATGATACAGCCACAGGGTATCATAGTTACATGCTAACAATGCAAACATGTTGAACTGGTGTGTACATGAGCCAGTAGCGAGTGATTGATCAAGATGAAAACATGCCTAGTAGTAGTTGTGTCAATCATGGGTGTGATAGGAATGTCCATCAGAGTCATCATTGTCATGACAATGATGTCTCTTGTGGGGAGGGCTTCAATAAATGTATTCAACCACACTGTGCATGTTAATCTCATTGTACATGTAGGCCACCCAGCAACATACCTTCAGTGAGTTCTTCCCTGTTGTGAAGGACCACCATGATCACTCTCATTGTCCTGATATCCTCTATAGCACTTGTGTGACTCATGCTGAGGGCAGTGGCAAGGATGTGGGGTCAGAGAATAGTTATCAGAAGGGGGGTGACAATGATATGCAGCTGCTGGAGCAAGATATGTGTGATGATCACCATGCAATGATGGACCTTGTGGAGATGACTGTGGTGACTCCTTGACAGGGGATGAAGGAGGGAGAGGGGAGTGGTGGGATGCTGGCTGAGTGGAATGAGGTCCATAGGATGGCAATTGCCCTTGCCTCAGGTGGTGTGATCCTGCAGGAGAGGGGTGACATGTGCAGGATGGTGATTGCTGTCATCAGGTGTGGTGGGATGTTGAGGGAGACACATGGTGCCACACAGGTGGCTGGGGTAATCTGTAAGCTAGGGATAAAGAAGGCACAGTCATATGGTGGGTGTTGGATGCTGCTGGCAAGGGGTGACATCTGTTGGATGGCACTCATCCTTGCACAGGTTGGTCAGGGAAAGATGAAGGGGCACTTCTCTCCCTAAACTTGTCACCTTTAGGGAGGGCCTTAACAAATGCATCTGAATCAGAAAGAACATGGAGGTGCTGGTTCAATTTGTTCACCACAAGTGGGATGTCACACATCCTTGCATCACTGTGGTGAAATAGCTCAATCTGATCTGGATTATTCATGTCAGTGAGGGTGACCATTTTGTGTCAACAACTCACCATCAGTCCACTTCTTGAGGTAAAATGATGAATTCAGCAAAGGGACAAGGTATCCAGCTTGGTCTTCATCATCATCTAGTGGAGCCTCAGCATGGTAATCTGCACCTATTGACTCTTTCAGGAAAGGAACAGTCAGAGCACAAAGTTCATCAGCATTGAGGCATTTGACATTGAAATCTGGACCAACAGCAGGGACTCCAGCAGGCCAATCAGTGATGGTATACTGGTGAACATACAGCAGATCAAGCAACAACTTCCAAGAAACATTTCTCTGGCCTCATGTGATACCATTCTCTTCTGTGGCAGCACTTCAGAGGATGAATATGAATCAAATAGATTTATTGACATACAGAATTTATGGAGTATGATTGTAGGTAAAATTTGCTGGTTGCAATCACACCTATATTCTTGAGGTTTTAATCCCAGTGCATGGTCATAATGGGGTTGTGACAGCACATTAAAGTCAGGAAGAGGCACTGAAGCAGCATAGTTAAGGATTTTATACCTAAAGAAAAGTTGGTGGGCAATTGTACATGGCATATGTTATACATACTTGATAATTGTGGACAGGTATTCTAACAATTGTGTTATGTCAGTCTGCCTCTCACTCACAAGCTGCATGAGAAGGGAGGATCCAGCAAAAATTCCTTGGGATTGGCATGCAGCTCCATTGCTCCCACTATAAATTACACATCTGAAGACATGTATGCCCTCCACATTGCACCAAGTTTGTGCCTGTACAAGAGGTTATTCAAGAAGCAAACAATCACAATGGTATTACCCACCCCTTGTGTAAAGGAGTCATGGAAAGCCATTACATGACCCACCATTGCCTTGAAACTGATGTCTTTAGACCCACTGACACACTCACTCCAATACTTCCAGATCTCAGCCCACAGTTGAGGATGTTTGTCCTCATCTTTATGGTCCTCATAGTGCTTGGTGTGATGCCTATAGTAGTCTTTGGTTTCCTCTGCAATTGAATCAATGTGGAGTCAAAACTTCAACAAGTTAGGATGTACTGACCTGCAGACACTTTTGGATTGGTATGTGCATACCAAGCCTGATGCATGTTCTGCACAGATTCAGCACAAGTTGCCTTTGTGGTAAGACCAGCAGCAGCCATGATTGACCCAAGAGTCTTGCCATACTCATCTGCAATCACCTGGGCTTCTTGAGTGGTGTGCATGCCAAGTGCCTGTGCCTTTCGTATGGCTTCCAAGGGAAGCTGCCCTGGTTTGAAGCATGGTAAGCCTGCTTCTGCACTGGATGCATCCTCACATTGACTGAGGTCACTGGCTAGGGTAGGTGCAGAGGGTGTGACTACTACCTTGCAGAAGCCACAATGTCATCCTTTGGGTTTCCTATGCATCCCAGTCATCTCCAAGCCATTGGGGAGGTCTCCAGTGTCACTAGGTCCATCCTCATCTTCAGAGGATGTGTTGGCTAGGGCACAAGATTTCCCTTTGGCTTCCCTACACCTCCTGGTCACAGAGCTGTCACTGCTGCCTTCAGTATCAGCAGCTCCATCTTCTTCTTCTGATGAGGATGGAGAAGGGAGAGGGGGTGTGGAAGGATCATTATCAGTATCATAATTGCCAGCACAGATTTCTCTCAGGGTTTGTTCACATTTAGGGTCACACCTCTGGTCAGCTGACCAATCACTGTCTATTCAATGACACATGTAAATTATGTGAATAATGCAGTTTAATCAAATAAACAAGCCTGATGCACTTTCATGCTCAACATCATCATGATGAATGCAGTCCATCATACTTTCAACAGCTTGGCAACCATCATGATCCACCAGGTTCTCTGAGACCAGATCACCTTCAGCTTGCACTGTACTCTCAACAGCTTGTTCATCCTCTTCACTGTCATTGGGGGTAACAGCTGGTGGCAACCTTGAGAAGGAATACAGCTACATACATAGATCACACACTTACACTTTTTGTGACCCTTCTCAGCAACTATATCTTCCATAGAAATGATGCCCAATTGTAGTTGCTCAAGGGCAACAGTGTGGTCAAGCTTCATACTGTTCTGGAGTGCAACCTGCCTCGTCTAGAAGGAGTAAAGGTACTGATCCTTGCATTCTTTCTTTCTCTGTCAACCCTTGCGAAGAATTGTAACTTGAGCATGGTTGGAGAGGGGGACATTGAGCTACAGAGCTGGATTTGCAGTTCTGAAAACAGTGGTCAGTAAGCAAAAAAAAAAAAGGTAGCACTACACACCAGGCACTCCTCACCATCCCCTGACATTGGCTTGTGTGTTTCAGAAATTGTATCCTGATTTCCACCTCATGCTGATGGAAAGAGTTGAGACAGTAGTACACAAGACACAGGAAGTAGGTCTGTACTCACATTTGACTACCTGGTGATGGGCCTTTGCACCATGTGAAGGTTGGGCTTTGGTGGGTGAAGTGACAGTAGGATTGACTCTCTTTGACCTCCAGGCACCAATGGGGGGACCAACTTTGAAAGTAACAGCAGATGACCTAGTCACAGGCATGATGAATTTGACCTGGTAGACACATAGTCAAACTGTGGGCTGGTGGAACTGTGGAACATGTAGTCACCACACACTCTTTGCTGATGCAAAATCAAGTGAGATGGAAAGGAAAAGACATTCAGGTAAGGAACAACTGGGTAAGGAAAGACTGGGTTCAGGCCAAACATTGGTTAGTGGATGATTTATGATCTTTCACAAAGGGTTACACACCTGATTTGAAGCAAGTGAAGAAAAGAAGGCAAGGAAGAAGAGAAAATGGAGGATGAAATGTTCACTACTGAGCTATTTATTTGGTCCCAGAAGAAGCCTACACACCTAATTCACACTAGCACCCTTGCTTCCTTCTAGCTTGCACAATCCTATTGAGAAGGGTCAATTGAACAGAAATCTGGCATTCAGGGCAGAGGAAAAATGCAGCATGTCAACCAATAGAGCAGGACTGTCATTGTCATTGTGAGCAGAAGATATAATAAAAACAAAAAGTTGATGTCAAACCTACAGACAGCAGCTCAAGGGTGATATATTCTTTTGACAAATAACCATGGTAGGTGTCAGTGAACAGTTGATAACAATACAGGTACCTTGGAATATGGATGAGATCACTACAAGAAATTAGGTTCAGGGAGCATTGACATTAAATGTTATTTTGACATCTATTTCATAATGTTTGTAGATTCAACAAAAAGATTTAAACATACCTCTTTGGACAATAGTATCAGATGGAGTGGGTAAGGAATGAGACAAGTGCCAATGAACAGGATTATGTATACCTGGTAACTAGAGCAGGTATATTCTTAGATCCAACAAACAGAGACCACTACACATACCTGATGACAATGGTGAACAAAGTTGACAACGATATGGGTACTTTGGACTACATACAGCACAGAGTTGGTGAGGAATGGAAGGAGATCATTACCAGAAACTCGGTTCTGGGAGCATTGACATCAAACTTTATTTCTGCAGTGATTGACAGGTGCTAGCAAATGAGATAGGTACCTAGGGATTATGAGAGGCTGACCACATTTGTAAATCAATGTAAACAGACCACAAGACACACCTGATAACAGCAGTAACTGTAGATCAAGAGTATGTAATGATATCCATAGCTCAGACTATGATGGCAGTTGGCCAAGTGAAGAATGAGGCAAGCACCAACTAACAAGATGATTTATACCTAGATATTAGAGAGGGTGATTGGATTCGTAAATCTAACAAAAAGAGACTGACACATACCTGATAGTGATGATAAGTCAGCCCAACACCTGATGATGATAGATGTACCTCCAACTGCAATACAATAGGGAGTGGGTGAGTGAGGAATGAGGCAAGCACTGATGGAGATAATTTATACCTAGATATTAAAGAACATGATCAGATTTGTAGGTCCAATGAAATGCAAAGGTAGGACATACTTCATAACAATGATAAGTGAGGATTGACAGTCAATAACTATGTGTCTACCACAAACTGCAATTCAACATGGAGTGGGTGGGTGCAGAATGAGGCAAGTGGTTGAGTGGAGATGAATGAGATAACTTATACCTGGATATTAAAGAGCATGATCAGATTTGTAAGTTCAATGAAAAGTGACAGTAGCACATACCTTATAATAATGATAAGTGGGGATCAACAGCCAATAACAATACACCTACTGCAGACTGCAATAGAGCACAGAGTGGGTGGGTGAGGGACACAACAAGTATGGACAAATGAAATGATTTAAATCTCATAGCTAATAACAAGAGTTGCAACAAGTACAGGTTTGAATGAGATGATTGAAACCTCACACCTGATAATGATAATGAGTCAGGATCAACATCTGCTAACAATAGACATACCTCAGACAGCAATACTAGGCAGAGTGACAGTGACCCAGGAGAGAAATGAGATCAGTGCTAATGAATGAACATAGGTGTTTAGAATCAGCTGGAGGGAATAGTGCTATAAAACATACCTTTGCAAGCAGGAAGGAGAGGATCTGGGGTGAAGGGCAAGACAAACTCCTTGAGGTCTTGAACCCCACTAGCAGTGCAGTGGTGCTGGGGCAACCTCAGTGACACAAAGTCAACAGAGTATGAACTGCAGCAACACAAAGTCAGCTGCAGCTCTGAGTGAGTGGCATGGAGCCAGCTCAGGTTCAGCCAACACATCCAAACTTGAAGCATAGAGGCAGTGAGTGGGAAGATGATGATGGGGAGGTGAGAGGATGACAGTTGTTCACAACAAAGCATGGAGCTGCTGGGCACTGTGCAGCTGGAACATGGTCCCATGACTTAGGTATTTTTGCCCTGGGAATTCTCCAGGCTATCACATCAAATGTTGCTATCAATATATGTACATAAGTATAATAGGTAAATACCTACAAACAAACAAATACTTATGATTTTCTGACTGCAACTACTCTTCATCCTACTACCCTTGCCTTCCTCACTTCATCACTCAGCACCTCCACCCTCAAGGTCTCAATTCCCTCCCCACCATGTGCATCTTCTCCCATTGGGTTCAAGTTGGCTTTGTGCTGCTCATCTTGACCTGAAGTTGACTTCATGTCACTTTAGGTCACACTCTGTTGACTTCACATCACTGAGGTCACCCCAGCACCACCATGCTGCTAGTGGGGTTCAAGACCTTGAGGAGTCCATCTTGCCCTCTACCCCAGATCCTCTCCTGCCATTGTCCTTCCATTACTTTCTTGTATAAGGTGCATGTTCTATACATGCTATTCACCCCATTGTTCACCCTGTCATTCATTTTGTTGTTCACCCCACTGTTCATTTCATCATTCACCCTCATCATTCACCCTGCACTTTATCCCAGACCCTCTCCCACCACCAACATTTGTTTGCTTTCTTTCACAAGGGTGAGTATTTAATTACATGCCTTTCACCCTGTCACCAACTAATCTACACATGATCTGTCCATTATTCCTTGCAGCTCAATTCCAACACAAGCAAAAATGTCCTGGGGGATTGCACTTACCTGCTTCAAAGCATTCACCTGGCCCAGCAATGGTATGTTCCTCTACTTTTGTGTTTTCCTGGAGCTTACTTACCATCCACAGCTAAAATTACATCACTGGATGCATGAGTGGTCATGTGCAAGGACTGCTGGCTGATCACATCACCCAATGTGGACTTTGTTCCAGAGCCATACATTTTTGAAGAAATTGATCTTTGTCTGCATGCTGACAGTCAGTTTGGCCTTGTCGATTGCTTCCAATTGCCTCAAACATACAAAAAAAACTACAAATATGCTGTTTGCATACCTCAAAAAAATATGGTCCCTACTCTCAATATTGCTTGGTTCACTCTGACATCTGTGGATTTCATCCTTCCACTTGGCTCTGTGTATCTGGTGGGAACACTTGAAGAGGCAAAGGTCAAGGCCTTTGAAGAACTACTTCAGCAACTGTGCAGCTACTATCACCCCCTCCACAATCAACCTGTGGGTCAAGACCTTATGACCCAACTAGTGTGGTCAGTTCAACACAAGGTTTTGTGCTTGTGGAATCACCCCCTTTTATTCTGAGACCTTGTCATTTTTGTTGCCCAGCTTCAGCATGAGCTGCTTGACATTTATGCTTTGCTTGAATACATTGAGATCCTCTACCTGCTTCTTTTGTCTCCCTGCTCAAAACCTGTACATGCAAACCCCACCTGGATGGGGTGCTTCATGAAGGATACTGCCACTTGCAAAGCACTATATTTTGCTGGGGTGCCAGTCTGGCTTGTGTGTACTGAGGCATACATCTCCCCTGATATGAATATCAAGGAGCCTGTGAGATTGGTGTGCCCTGAAGACATAGTGAAAGCTATGTACTTGGAAAAGGGCATATCTAAGCCATTCCCATTGATCTACCATGGTCCTGGCAGTCTCCTGTGCCACATTCACACTTGCAGGGACTATGAGGGTACATTCATGGAGAAACCAGAGCCCATGCAAGAATCATTTGCCACATCCTTGTCAAACCCATCTTCAAGCACTGGAAAGCAATCAACAAAAAAGCAGACAAGGGCTGCCAGGGAACAAGCAACTACAGGCCCATCCAGAGGTATGTACCCTAATTTTCTTTCTGCTTGTTCCTGACCAGCTTGTAGCTTCACACCCCAAACAATCAGGTGGTGGGGACTTGGTGAGGTGGGAAGAGCCTGATCTTCCAGAAATTCCCAAGCCCCACAGTCTGTTTGCATTGGCTTGGAGGAAAGCTTCAAAGAATATGTCCAGAGTCAAGTTGGGCATTGTGGACCCTGGTTATCACTTTCTGAAGCCCACACTGTTGGTCAATGTGACCACCCCTGAATGAAAGAAGATGTACATGTTGAATTGGCTCTCTGCTCATCCAGCTTGGATGAATCAAGTTGACATTTGGTCTCCACAGAAGAACCCCTCCCCTCAGATGTGGAGGGACTTCCTCAATGGTACTGACACAGAGTGCATCCACAAAGTTGGCAGTTTGGGCAATGTTGGGGGACATCATTCAAGTAGCTCATGATGATCCTGTTCATATGTCAGAAGAGATTGAGTGGAGGGGAATGCAGGTTAGTATTTCATCCTATTTAGATCTGTTCTTCATACTTATCTTGTGCAGGTCCAGGCTTTGAGCCTTTCAGACCCACCCCTTCATTTCACATGTTCCCTTCTATGGGAACTCTATGAACTCAACTTCCACTATGAACTTCACACACTCAATCCAGCCCTTGTCCCACAGCTTTGGCTTGATAGCCTAGATAAGTATACATGCCAATCACTTCTTTGGTCTATCTTCCCTGGTGAATGTGGTCTTTCAAGTTGGTCAGTGCCTCTTCCTCAGGAGCCACATGATTTGGGGTTGACTGCTAGTGAGATGGAGGTGGCATTTCCCTATCTGAACAAGTTCTGTCAGTTGCTATCTGCATGGCCAGGAGTGCCCTTTTGTTTGAAGTCCCCAATCAAGCTGGATGGCTCTGGGAACCAAGCAGCATCTGAAGCCTTCATCTTGGCTTGCAAATTCTACATCCAAACTGCATTTGATTATCTTGGGCATCAACCATCCCTCCCCTGCATTTTTACCTTTGTCTGACATCCTCCACCACATATACTTTTTTTTTTCTGTCCAAATTTGTTTAGTATGAGTATGTACCATGTCATAAAGCAGGCTGAATCAATTCAATGATTTGGAATGTTGCCTGTGACTGAACCTTAATCTCACACTTTGTGCTCACTGCTTTTTTTTTGTTGATAGCAACATGTTATTCACTGACACTCCCACTGCCAGGCAAGGAATGTTCCCATCCCCCTTCACTGCTATTGATGCTTTATCTGCATCAAGGTCTGCACCATTTAATTCTTTAAGACTCATTCTGCTCAGTATGTATGACATCTTGATGATGGGGTTCCTGCTCACTGTGATGTTGATAGTGACTTTTGTTTTTAACTGCTCAAGACTTGTGCTCTGGTAAGTAGGATCCTACTTGGCTGTATGTGGTGATCTGACAAATTTTCTGCATAGTTTTTCCCTTCCAGAGGTTTGTCATCAAGTCAGAATCCCCTTGGACTGACACCCCCTGCTGACTTCATGTTGTGCTTTCCACCACCTGTTGACTTTGAGTCCCAGGTGTACTGCTGTTGGCTTTGTGTCATAGTTTCCAGAACAATCTGAGATGGCTGTTTGCCATCCAAAGCCTTGGAGGCATTGCATTGCTTTGCCTTCTATGAGTAATTCTAATATTGTGAGTTTTCCCTGTCTTCAAGCCTCATGTTGTGCTCATCATTTCTCTACAGGCCTCCTCTGCTTCATCTGTCCAAGCTGGTCTGGTACCCAGTGTACTCACTGACCATCCTTCATCTTTTTCTGGTAATGAGCCATCACTTTGTACTTCTGGCCCTTCAGTGTGTGCAATTTCATTATGGTATTCTTCATATCATCTTAGCTCCCCCACAGGTCTTATCAATGTCATCTTCCTCAACCAACTTGCTGCCCAATGTAGCCACTTCATCATCTGTCACCCAAACTCTATGCCACAGCAAGATAGCCCCTGGCCAAGTGACTACCTATGTGCTTGCTGTCCTCTTTGCTTTGGGGGAGGTGACTTACAGAGCTCTAACCCTCCTCAGGATGAGTGAGTCAATGACAAGCTCATTGTTGCTGACTAGATGACTGAGACCCAATAGCTTTGACTGCATTGACTGCTTAGATGCATGTTTCACTCAGAAGAGAACCAACAAATCTGCCACTGATGACCCTCCCAATCCCACCAGCACTGTATTCATCCCTGAGTCAGAGGTGAAGGCCATGGAGGTTTTCATTGAGAAACAGAGATCCTTCCCAACCAGTCAACATCATTCTCAGACTCAAAACCAGCAGGACAGGTTGGGGGATGGAATGAGGGTACCTGCCCCTGTGTTGGATGGGTGTGGAGGTTCTTTCCATGCAGCAGATGAGAAGAGGCAAAAAGCCAGCACACAATTTTTTGCAGATACAGGGCTTATGGCTTTGTTGTGTCATCAAGATTGTGTCCTCTGGTTGGTTAATATGACATCAGCAGGGGAAAAGCAGCACTATGCCCTAGTGCTGGTGAAACATACCATCTCCCTGCCAAGATGACTGTTGGCCTCTTATATGACATTGGTTGTCAATTGGAGTGTAGCTGTCAAAAGTGGAAACTCCTTGATGATGGGATACTCTCCAGCTTGAAGGTTGGTATTTCTGTCTTCCATGCTTATGGTCATCAATGGCCATGCCAATTGGTATATCACCCACATAAATGTGTGGGCTTTGGCTTGTTAGATGGTGAGGGGTGTGAGTGACTATGGAGTGCTCTAAAAATGCTTATTCCAATTCTTCAGTATCTGGGGTGAGCATTGACTCTTCTTCAAATATAATTCCAGTGCTCATTTTACCCTTAGTATCATCAGAGATTATTTGTCCTTGACAATCAAAATTCAACACTTGGACAAGAAGTCTTTTAATGCATTTGGCCAGTGGCTGAGCAGGAAATGGTCCATCTGCAAAAGTAGGAAATTGGTGGCTTTGGAGGCTCTTCATGCTCTGCATGTTGACATGCAGACTCTACAGCATGAGTGGGCTGCACAAGTACATGCACAAACTCAACTTCTACCTTGTTAATCTGTTCCCTTTGTGTGTGTGTGATCATATGACTCACCAACCTGTGGGTCAGTCAAAGAACAAGGGTTCTGAACAGTTGGCACATGTTCCTGCTCTGGAGAAAACAGTCGAGGACTATCAGTGCTGTGTGGATCAGTTAGAGAAGGATCTTGTTGATGATCATGTCAATGACATTGTTGACTACAATCTACAACTTGCTGCAGAAAAAGGGTCACTGTCAAAGGCAGCCCAGGCCCTCAAAAAGAAAAAGGCTTCATTGGGACTTTCTGCTGAGGAACAACAAGTGGCTCCAAATGCAAACAAATGCACAAGCACTTAAGGTTCAGATAAGGGAATGACTTTGTCAGCACAAGTTTGAGTTCCAGCAACTACAATGGTCATATAGAACCTCTTCCAGTAGTGAGCAAATTTTTATTTCTGGCTGCTATTTTCAATAACATCATGTAGAAAACCATTTACAGTCACATGTGGAGTCATCCATAAAACAATGAGAGCCTACCATCCTGAAACTTGTCACCACATACAATAATCTCTGTGGTGAACTGCAGAGTATGATACAACTGTGTAAGGCACCACCTGGTGCCATCCCTCCCAATCCCATACCTTCTAAATGTATCTTTCAGCTGGATGTTGATAGTGATATTTGGCAGGATGGTCTTGAGGAGCTTAGTGCTAGCACCCCACATTGGCTTGCTGATGAGAGTGTGCACAAGGGAATCAGGCTGATGTTGGAAGTTGATTGCTGTGATGAAGAAGAAAGAAGGTTGTCAAGAGAGCAGTCTATCATACAGGAATGGTTTTCCATGGAGTGGCTGAGTGTAAAGTCTGCTCTGGAAAATGTGGCAGGTGAGTGCAAATACCATGTTTATGTCCCATCCCATAGGGAGTTAGATGAATATTACAAGTATCACCTGCATGCCTACAGGGATTCCATTGTTGCAGTATATGTCAAATGGGAGGCCAAGGTTTGACATATGCCATATGCATGGGCTGCATCTAGGCCATGGGGACCTACAGCAGAAGACATCAGGGAGTGCCTTGCTGCCACACATAATCCTGGTGGAACCCATGCTTCAGAGGATCTAATAGCACCAGTATTAGAAGAGAATGACTCTGATGAAGGGGATGTAATGTCAGAAGGAGATGATGAGCTGTTGATGGTCATTGAAGAGATGGAACTGGAAGAGGAATGTCCCACTGAGCAAGCAAATGAAGGGGAATTTACAGAAGATGAGGATTGGTTGGAGGACATTGGAACTGGTTATTTGTCCTCATCACCATTGCAGGTGCCATCAAAAAGGTGTAGATACTAGATGCATACCTAAGTGTCATCAATAAATAGTTTGTACCCAGAGAAAAGATATGTATGAGTGATCCACATTCAATGTTACCCTAAGGCACTCTGTTTTATGGTGACCTGCAATGCCTTTGGCCTCCTGCTGGGTCAAGCATTATGATTGATTAAACTAACAAGAGAATGCACATAGTGCATTGGAAACTCCCCAGAGTGGGTGGGAGAATCCTCAGCATTGCCTGGAGATTCCCCAGGACAGAACTTGGAGAATCCCCAGTATAGCTTGGAGAATCCTCAGAGTGGGTGGGAGAATGCCCAGAGCAGGTTGGAGAATCCCCAAGACAGAACTTGGAGAATCCCCAGTATACCATGGAGACTCCCCAGAGTGGGTGGGAGAATCCCCAGAGCAGGTTGAAGAATCCCAAGCATTGCCTGGAGAATCCCCAGCAGTGCTTGGAGAATCCCCAGGTCATAGCTTGGAGGATCCCCAGAGTCAGTTGGAGAATCCCCAGCATTGCCTGGAGCATCCCCAGCAGTGATTGGAGAATCCCCAGAGTGGGTTGGAGAATCCCCAGAGTGGGTTGGAGAATCCCCAGCGGTGCTTGGGGAATCCCCAGGACATAGCTTGGAGAATCCCCAGAGTTGGTGGGAGAATCCCCAGCATTGCTAGGAGAGCCCCTAGAGACAGGAGTTGGCTGGGAAATTCCAAGCATTGCCTGGAGGATCTGCTGCATACCCTGTGGATCCCCAGAGTGGGTGGGAAAATTCCAATGGCACCTGGACAATCTTTGACTTGTATGCAATGGCCAAGACTGGAGATCACTGAAGCCTTGGGAAGCATGGTGAAAGTATATGTCTGCTGTGCCTGGGCAATCACCATCACCAAGTATATTCTACTCCCTCCATCAGATGTCACCAGTCTTTCCTCAGTGGTCTATGGCCATGCTTTTTCACATATTCATATTGTATGTAGTGCTCAGATCAGATTCTGGGGAAATAGGTACTTGGTGTGATACACACTCCTGTCAGCAACATGGAGACTCCAAAACATTTTGATTGATCCTTCATGCTGTGATGGTGGTCTATTTGAACTGGAGGTTCCCATGATCATCTTGGAATAGGTCTGTTTGGGCTGGATGCCCTGGGAACAGGTCCATTCAGGCTGGGGAAACTCCCAGGATGCCCAGGGAACAGGTCCATTTAGGCTGGGGAATCCCCTAGGATGCACTGGGAACAGGTTCATTTAGGCTGGAGAATCCCCCAGGATACCCAGGAAATAGGTCTATTAACTCACTGGGGAAAGCCCCATTTGGACCCCAGGCACTCTGTTATAGATGTAATAATCCTGGAGAAAGTCCATGTCTCACACCTTGCTCTGGAGAATACCCAGGTGGTCAACACCTATTAGGTGGATACATCTATAAGAATATATGAACCTAATAGGTCCCCTGGGGGGGTGACTGAAGTGTTGTGGCAACACTGACCAGCCTGCCAATAACAGCATCCATCTGCAACATGGCACCTCAACAAAATCACCAGGACACGTTAATGAGCAACCAACACTGTCTTCCTGAACAGCTTCACCTGCTCTATCACTTTGGCTACTCAGATGTTGATATGCATTATCAAGATGCTGCCATTTTCATAATAGACATAGGCAGAACTGGCATGACACTAAATCCACCATTCACATTCTCAACACCATTGCAGTCACACTGACCACTGGCAGGCCCAGAGATGTCTTCACTGCTGCATTTGACACTCATGGAGGTGTCACACTTGTCTTGGCAAAGAACAACTCTCCCACCACTGAAGATGACTGGGCTGTTCATGACTTGTTCAGGTGGATCACTGCTCCTGAGACTATGGGGGCATATGACATTTTACCTTTCCTATTTACTCATTGTGGGGTGAACATTGCAAAGCAGATGGTGAAGATGGATGATGCTGTGCATGATTTCTCACATGGCCTCGAGGAAGTCTTAAGGCACTACACACCTGTCTCCTCCATCGACGAAGAGTTTCCTTACTCTATGACTTGTCACAGTCTCCAGTATGGTGACCAACAGGTCCCATTTGTGAAAATGATGCATGAATTGTTGGAGGTTATCAGGGGCAGATTTCAAGATTTCAACTTACAGAATCTGTCAGCAATGCCAGACATCTACTGCTGCTATGCACAGCTTGCACTAGTCGCCTTCATTCTCAAAAGATCCTGTCTTCTACATTCACTCTGCAAATCCACCAGTCCTATGGATCGCAACTGCAAACTGCAGGTGGAACAACTGAAATGCCACCTTGCTAAGGTCTGCCAGTATTACCATGGTATTGAAGACCTCGTCGATCATATGAGGTGCCATTTCCTGCAAGGAATTGCACATTGCTGGGTCAACCCAATTCATGACATGGGTGAAACTACAGTTAATCTAGAGGGCAACTATTTGGGGGCCATTGAACAGGCACCCAGCAGTGTTTCTCCCTCAGTGGACACTCTAACCACATTGTGCAGAAAGTTCCCAAACATGGGAGGGACATGGGGTGCCAGTCATTCTATCACAACTCAACTTCACACCGAAATCCACATCCTGCTTCATCTCAGCAAGTCATTCAATATTTTGAATTGCTCCCAGCAGCAACCTATTGGATGTAGCAAACAGAGTTCCTTATGCTGCACTTTGTGGATCTGGGCATATAATAACAAGTACCGGACAAAGTGGCTGACATCTGGGTCGCATGGAAAGCCTTACTCTGCCTGGGCTTTGCCTGGTTACTCCTATGCACATGCTTGGGCAGCAAACAGGCAGAGCGATGTTGATATAGCTGTCATGAAAGGGGTTGAGAAATGCCTAATTCAGACTATTGCTCAGCTATTTCCAAACCAGAGGAGGCTCTCTGATGAATTTCAGTGGAGTGGGTTGGAATCACATCAGGAAATCAACACTTTACTATTTTTGACCTTTTTGTGACTTTCTTTGACTTTTTTGTGACTATTGTGACTATTTGTGACTTTTTGGGAAGGAACCTACTATCTGTACTTTTTTTTTGACCATATACAGCATTTTGAAGAATGAAAAGGGAACAGAATCTATTGAGACAACTAAGTGATGATATATCCAAGCCAAGAAGACTAGAAAATGTCTGAAAATTCAGAGATATTGAGCCATTGGTGTGATGCACACTGTCTGAGAGAAAAATCATAATATCTCTTTGGAACCTCCATCAATTTGAATGTATGTGGTATCTACTGAAAGCTATGAATTAGGTGGTTTGAATAAGACCAAAATCAGCAAGAAAAGTGCAGCCATGCCTGCAGGACATGGGTAATGATAGTAGATTCCTTCCCAAAAAGTCACATTAGTCACAAAAAGTCAAAAATAGTAAAGTGTTATTTTCCTGATGAAGTGACTTGGAAGAGGAGGTGGCAGAGTGACAACTTTATGATGCTTGGGCCATCCAGGGCTGGAGATGGTAGAATGGGAGTCCAAGCTTCAGGTGTGCTTCAGTTAGTAGTGTGTCAAATGCATTATGCATGAGATAGTTTATCTTTTAATCCTCCAAATGTGGGTGATGCACAAGTTCATGCCAGTTTGTTGCAACTAACATGGTAACTACCGTTGGGCTCTGTTGCACCACTCACAATGGCATGTCAACCATGAATTGTTGCAATGGGTGCTGCAATGCATTGCAACAAAAGTAGTACTATACAAAATAAAGCCTTAAAACAGAAAGTGACTCTCATGACTTGGACTTGCCAAATCTAACACCTATGGTGCTATGGCACTGCATGCGATACACAAGGTGCTGCAACACATTGCAACAAAAGTAGTATAGACATTGCAACAGGTGTTGCAACATGTGTAGTATAGATGGCAATAAGATTAGTATAATAATGCAACAGCAACACTACCCAATGGTGCTATGGTGCTGTGCACAATACACAGATACTCACGGTCACAGTCAATTCACAGTTACAAAGCAGTAAGATAGAAACTAAGATGTTTCAGAGCATAGGAGAGGGAGATACACTATAAGCATCAGCAACATCCAAGAAACACTGTGTGTCCTTCCACATATCAGCAAATGACCTTGTGAGCTGATGCTGAAGTTCTGCCTGACACTCAGCATATGCATGACACCCATTGGAGAGAGCTTTGTCACCTGTTGCAATGGCACTAGCATGGCCCATCCACCAATTTGTGTGCCACTCAAGAAACTGTAATGTACATTGCTTTTCTTCAAATAGTAGCCTAACCTCCTCTTCCCAGCAGTGTGCACATGTGCATGCTTTGCACCACTCCACACAGATGGCTAATATGGAGTTAAGATTAGCACTAAAGTGAGGTTGATGAGGCTGCTAGCAGATGCTTACCCTCCTGAAAACCATCATCTGATTCCTTCTCTGTGGTGTGATCACTGTACCCATATAACCACCAAATCCAAGAAACATGGCACTGTCCCTCTCCAGGCCAGAGGTTGTAAGCATCTGTGAGTGCACTAATGTCCTCATCTGCAAGTGGGTGAAGCTTGTCCCTCCACCTAACTTGTCCAACCAGGGGGGCAAGAATGGTTAATGCTTGATAAACTACATGATACCTTGTAGCAGCAGTATTTATCTTGGTATCTAGGGCTTTGAGACAATTTCATGTGTGGGTGTTGGCTCCTTGACCACATAAAAAATGATCCTTGAATTTGAGCATGTATGCACAAGATCGAAGACCCTGGCACAGATCATTCAATGCATTGTGTGCTTGACCCTCCCTGAGTCGAAGTTCAACCATTGCCAATTTCAGTAGACATGCGACTTTGCCACTAACTTGCAATGGGAGGAACAACGGGATGTCCTCCAGGGAATGAGGTTGACTGGCAAACTCTGGCCACTCATCCCAGAGGGCACTTACACCAGGCATAAACAGGACTTGAAGTTTTTGCCATGCCTTGATTTGCCTCACCAGTGCATTGCTTTGTTGTTGAACCCTGAGTTTGTGCATATCTGTGACACATGATGCCAGCTCAGTGGCATCATGCAGATGTCATCTATGTTGCAGGAGTTAGATCAACAGATGTCCCACAGAGGGTGACTTACTGCTGATCCTCTAGGTCAATCCCAGCACCAATGAGAACACTCAGGGTTACATCTGAATGTAGTAGGAGCTCACTCCCTCCCACAAGTGCATCGGCCTCATCCTTCGCCAATTGTAAGCAGATACTAGCTTGCATGATACCTGTGAAGGTACAGCATAGATGAATTGAAGGGAAACAAAAATTTGTTCGAGACTGTACATACCATCATTCTTGACTTCAAATGGATTAGGCTTGGTCAAGTCAGCTTCCCAGTCCTCTACCTGCTGCTTCCATAGAGCAAGTTGCTCAGGAAACTTGAGCTTGAGCAACCATGTTAATTCTTCAAAGTCACATTGATGATCATTGTGCTCAGGGATGGCCTCCTTTACCTTCCTAAGAAGAGAAGTGCCTACAATGAACAGGAGGTAAATCAGTCCTCAGTGAATCAACAGAAATGGTAGCAAACCCAGTCCAATAAGCTTTTTCCAGTTCCAGTCACCAAAGTAGTCATCCAGTGTGTCTCAACAATGACCAGGGCCCATGGTCTTCATGCTTGAAGCAGCAGGGTTAAGGTTTGCCCATCCATGCTCAGGTTCTTTGCCATCTGTCTGACCAACACCCTTGGTCCAATTGAAGGAGAAGGACCATTGGCATGAGGCAATGTGGGCAGGAAGGTGAAACTTGGGTATGAGAAACATAACAGCCCAGTCATGTAAGTTTGACTGTAAAGAAGGTGGCATCTGGTCCATCTGCTGATATAACTTCTTGTGCCACTGGCAGGCAATGTTGTATGAAACTTTGAGGACAGTCACATCTGAGTGGTGTAGTGCAGATGCAAATGCACAGTCCATATTCACATATCTCTATGTTTTATGCTCATGAAATGATATCACATTGGATGTAAATGATACACACCTTTCACTGTATTGTAGGTCAACTATCCCATTTGGGAGCCTCATGCCATGCCTGGTGCAAACAACCATGCCAACGCCAGTCACATCGCAACCCTTCTTTGACTTTGCATCTGCCATATTCACTGCATTGTGATTTGAGCATGTGCTTTTCTGGATTAAAATAAATGTTTGCAAGTGCATTCAGTGGACAACTGCATACCTCTTGGATATCATGCCAGTGGTCACTTAAGCATCTCTTGAACATGGTGTCCTCCACAAAATATGCCCAGCCCTGACTGAGGCTCAGATCATTCTCATTATTTGAGACTGCATGACATCTGAGGTGAAAGTTGGCATCAAGAGCAACAAAAAGTGTGTCAACATCTCTACATAACAATTTAGTTGAATATTGGAGTTAAGATATAGCTAACCTTTCTGGTGACCCTGTCATGTTCTTCCCAGGTTGAGGGCATGCTGGACATAACACTGCACATTCACCTTCTTTTGTATTCAAAACACCAGCAGGATCATGTCCTCGTCCTGAATGTTTGAGCATCTTGAGGTGGTGCCATTGATGGACCATTCTCAAAAACTGTTCGTAACGAGCCTGACATGACTGAGCACAAACTTTACAACATGAACTGTGACACACCTTAGGTGGATTTAATCCAGTATTATCTGAACAACGTGACAAGGTGCTGTAACACTTGTAACAAGAAAGCTTGGATTCTAATGACAGGAGATGAAAGTCTTCCAGCACTTGGAACATTGCTGCAGTGCAGGGCTTATCAGAAGTTGCAGGGAGCCATCAAATGCACAGCAATTGTCGTGTATATGAATCTGCAGTCTCACACCCACAGAAGGTAAGGCTGACAATGTGAATCCCATTCCTGTACATAACAACAAACTCATCTTTCAGGACAGACTGGGGCCTGCAGCACCTTTCACCAATAGGATGGCCCAACTGCACAATCAAGCCCAACTCCTTCAATGTTTTGCTTGCAAAGTATCTGCCATTCCACTCCTGTCAATAGTATAAGTACAATACTCATCTGAGTGTATTACCACTTACCCTCACACAGTGCAATGGGTGATCTCCATGATGAGTCACTACACATTCTTGGCAGTATGTGTCAACTCCAAGGCAATCATCACAGCAGAAGTGAGCCAGTCAAAGCTTGCAGTTGGGACAGATACTGGAAACACCACATCTACCTTCCAGCCTGCGTAGCTCTGATAAGTAGTCTTCACGGTCTAATTTTGACCATGTGAGGAGTGGTAAGTCCTAATCAATACATCAGCCAAGTTGCATCCAATCTCACAAAAAGTTCACTTACAGATTCTGTTGTCTGTCTGGGCTCCATACCCAAAATTCCAAGGTCAACACCAGACAGCAGTCTGTCCATACACTCAGGAATCTCTAGGCAATGGTACACAACCCTGGGCTGCACAGCAGTAGGTTTGGGGACAGGGTTGGGAGTGGTGAATATGTGGGTAGTCAAATGGAGTGTACCATGCATGTCCAACTGAATCTTGGTGTGGTGACAGGTAGATGCAGATTCCATCTCCTCAACCTTTTGTTTATGAATGGTAAAGCCAGGAATTTTTCAGAAACAAAGTGGGCCCATAGGAGGTTGGGGCGGGGACAGCCCATCACTGATATGCGATTCTTGCTGCATGAAAGTGACCTGTTGATAATGGTCAGTATGTAAGTACAGTGCAGGAGGGGCATAAACATACTGTTGACAAAAGCAAAAGCATGTATGTTTCATCTCCTTGGCCTTTTGCTTGTGAAAAAAGATGAGGATCTACAAATTTTTGATACCACTGAATCTCTCACCAAAATGATCAAATGAATAGCTGTATAGATTGTTGGTGAATCTGAGTGCCACATTCTAAGAGCTTTTGAATGCTGGGGTAATGGCAATCAACAAAGCTGACCAAAATGACTGTGGATTATTCACATCACATCATATATGGTCCTTCATATATACATTGATAGGTTGAAACTTGGGAGCCATGCATTTACAACACACCAAATACAACTTATGTAATCAAAGAAGTGGGTAGATCTATTAACCCTTTAGGTAGTTCAAGCACTCCCCCTAGTCCATTTCACTGCCACAGGCAAGGGAGAGCTGTTGACACCCCTTTTGCGAGTTTTGGGCTGTAAATTTAAGGCCATAAGCAAGATGCTCATTACATAATGGAATGGAATGCTCACTGATGACACCTCCTTCTTGGTAACATCCCAGGTGACATTGGATGCCACCGGAACCTTAGTATTGATTGGAGAATTGCTGTTGTCAGAGTCATTGATAAGAATCTGAAATGTCTTGAGAGAGGTAAGTCAGTCATCTCATGCTCATGCAAACATCATTACACATACCATTATGGCTGGTTCCTCGTGCATATATGAAATAGAGAAACTGTGGAGTCCTGTTTCATTCAGCAATATCAGCTTGATGGATTTATGCAGCATGATAAACAGTGACTCAATACCAGTAACAAAGGACAAGTAGGGAAGGGGGGTTGAAAGCAAGCTGAATGTGCAACTGCTGTAATAAATACCTGACCTATAGTAACATGCTTTTCATCTAGCCTCAGATTTAAAGTTGAAGGAACATACATGTCGATCTTCAGGGTTAATCTTGACAATGGCAACACAACAGGTAGTTGGACATCCTTGGGGTTTGCAGTATGTTGATCTTCAGGATTAAAGTTAAAACTTATAAGGCAAAATCCTGGCAAAACAGCAGGTGATCAGGCATCATTGATTCATCCTCAGGGTTTTTCAGTGATGCTTCTTTCCTAATCACTCACCTCTGAAGAAGTTTGTGTAACACGGAGCATGAGCATTCCCCAGACTGCAGACTGTGGACTTTGGCGATGGCGAATTGCACACTGCACTTAGCATTTGGCACCCAAGGTTATGCGATCTGAGGACTAATTGAAGCCTGGAGATGGTGCTTAGATAGTGGACTGGTTACAAAATGAGAGAGCATGAGACTAGAATCACCTGCCATGCACTACAATGTCTTGGTGGGTAATCATAGGTGGGACCAAACCCAGCATTTACCATGGGTGGTGAGTCAGACTCTTCAACTGACTAATGCATACAAATAATGATGGAAAACTGTATCATTATAGTCCATATATCCTTTGTGGGAGGTTGTCACCTCCACTCCCCATCGCCATCGAGTGTACTTCCATGGATGAGGCAAAACTTGTCATGCAAACATTGGATAGCATCTTACAACCAATACTACCTGAACCAACCACCCATGACTTGGTCACCTTCCTCAACACATCGCCAGCAGTTCAAGACCTCCTCAAAGACACAGGTGATAGTTTCTATGCAGTTGTTGTTGGAAACCCCCCCAGTGTTCATCGCACTAAGTGTCTCATACTACAAATTCTCCCTGACTAATCACAATCCTATACTAGAGAAGGAGCCACTCGTGCAGGGAGCTCATTTCATTGGGCAAAATGGAAATGGACCGACACACTTCATGAGGCCTTAGTGTATATGGCAGTGAAGGGCATTGAGGATCAACTACCATGAGTGGTGACAGTAGATGAAGTAGCTGAATCCACCAGTTGGTGTCATATACCATTCTCCCCACTAATGTTGTGTGCTTACCATGAATAGGCCTTCAAGATGCTGATGTTGTAGGCCTTCAAGACACTGACATTGTGGCCCCTCAACTGACCCAATCCATGCCTTCTCAAGGGTGTGGACATTCCGTGAGTGGTGGGTGGATGATGTTGTCCTTCATCGACATCCAACTTCTCACTTTGACCTCAGCTCTGCCTCTGATTTGGTGTGATTCTGGATCTCATACAAGCCCAATTATATATGCACATGTACAGAGTCTTAGGGGGATCACAGAAAGTCACCACCACTACTCTGAAAATACAGCTACCTATATTCATGCCCAGGTGCTTGGTGCTCATGCAGCACAATATCTCACTGCTCATCGCTATATGCATGAGGCTATTGACACTATTATACATGCACATAATGGCGCATTAAGTGACCACATATTTGCTCTTTGACTTTCACAACATGGCCTTGCCATGGTGGAAGCTTTGTATTTGTGGTGTTTGATTTATTTACAGTGATCCATCTTGTGCTGACTTTTGCTTGAACATTATTAGTTGTATACACAAATTAACAACTGATTTTTGCCTAAACATGTGCATGACTCTGCAAAATCTAACTATCAGACTGGGAATATGAAACAAAACAGCACGAAACACATGGGTATAAAGTCCCAAGATGTTCTGGAAGGTGCTGTCCAGTGTCTGAATTCTTCGTGCTACAGAATGTCTGGAGACTAAAGGGTATACATGCAAATGTGCTAATAGGTACAAAGCAAATACATGATTAGGATTAGTCATTTGTGTGTATGGTTATTTGCTGTAATAGGCATATGTAGTAAATCTCCTATCACAACAACATGCTCTTACTACTCTGACAACTTTGACATGGGGTGGATAGTCTTGGGACATTCTGGGAGGTGCTGTCTAGTGTCTGAATTCTTTGTGCTACAGAATGTCTGGAGACTGAAGGGTATACATGCAAATGCACTAATAGGTACAAAGCAAATACATGATTAGGATTAGTTGTTTGTGTGTATATGGTTATCTGCTGTAATAGGCATACATAGTAAATCTCCTATCACAGCAACATGCTCTCACTACTCTGACAACTTCGACATGGGGTGGCCAAAATTATACAAAACACAAGATCAAAAGGTTTTGGCTGCTTGGGCTTATTGAATGAAATACTATCAGAGGTATCAAATCTATTTCTCTTTATTCTGGAGGACGCTTCTCAGCTCAGGGCTGTTGTTCATCCTCAGCCATAGAAACGAAATCAACCTCAAGCTCAAGGCAAAATGAGGCAGAGCCAAGAGTTCTTTCCAGTCAGAGGAGACTTCTTCATACGATCAGGTTTCTAACTAGTTGTCACAGCGAGTTACTTACTCTTATGAGTCTAGGGCGATCCATTTGGACACAGAACCATCCCCTGAACTGCTGTGTGCACTCACTCCACTCCTCATATATTGTAATCTGACACCCTTCAGTGGTCCCAGTGAATGACAGGACACTGAACCATCCCCTGAACTGTTGTGTGCACTCACTCCACTCCCCATATCCTATAACCTGACACCCTTCAGTGATCCTAGTGAACAACAGGACACAGAATTGTCCCCTAAGCTGCTGTGTGCACTCACTCCACTCCCCATATCCTGTAACCTGAGACCCCTCAGCAATCCTAAGGAACGACAAGGATTTAGGCCCAGGCAGGTCAGAGGTACTTGCCTGGAACAGTTTCATGCCTCATCGCACCCTGATAGGCAGTTTTGTGTCAATTCTTCATTGTGCTCTGGGCCAGATTCCATTGATCAGATCAACCACTCACTGAAGGCAATAATAGGGAACTCCTGTCACTCATTTATGGACAACCTATGCCAAAACTACGTTGACAGTGGAGATTATTCAAAAATTTGGGCTGTTCTGTCTAAGGTGGATGGCTTGGAGTCATGAGTGCATATGTTGAAATGGCAACACTGGGACAACCTGAATGATCCTACCAAGGAAACATACAATCATATTCACTTAGTATCACAAATTCTGGAGGACCTCTTGATGAATGCTATGGAAGGTGCAGATGTAGCTGGGATGCATACAAGAGGCATTTTATTGTTCCAGAACTACCCACTAGACACTATGTAGTACTACAGAATGAAGTGGTTCTCTCACTATCCAAATGTGCTGACCCTGCACTTGCCACAGTTTCAAGAACAATGACTTGTGGTATTTGATAATTGAAGATCTCCAATTTATCTGAATTCGCCATCACTGTCTTGCCTCTTGCACTTTTCTCCTACATGCTGGTCACATAGTTACTCAGTGGCCATTCTGTGAATCTGATGCATTCTAGTAGTGGCCAAGATCTGTACATGAGATACATGGATGCATTGTACAAAGACACATCAATGCGCTACGCAAGCATGAAGATGGATTACCATCATTGCCTTCACTCTTGCTTGGTGGCCATTCCATGAATCCGAGGCTTTCTGCAGTCACCTGAGATCCTGTAACATAAGATACATTGATATATTACACAGAAGACTTGCCAACACATACCTTTTAGGATCTGCATTAATTTTTCATTTCAAATGCAGTGGCCTAGATCCCTAATCAATGTAGATCACCTAGTGTAAGATAAGATGTGTTGACACACTCCTTGCTCACCTTGTCTTGACTCTCTGTCCATTGCATTATAACTGTCAGCTGCCAGTAAGTTTTATTTTGTTGCACAGTACACATTAGGGTTAGTGACTGACATCACATTGTAGACATGCCAAGGAAGGAATGGACGACTCCTGAGCAGAAGAAGTTTTTGCAGGATGAGTTAGTGCAGTACTGAGTATGAGCACCAAGGAATACTCACGACACTGGCCAACCATCTTCAAACAATGGTCACAACTCTGGCCCAAGAGGGCTGTTGCATTCCCAGACCTCCCACCAGATGTATCATTGACTCTTGAGCAGGACAAGATCCTCAGAGATGCTGTCACCAAGTGCCAACAGGTCAGCAATATCACATTACTTCATGGAAGAGCTCACTGAACTTTGTGCAGCAATTACAACAGTGGTTGTGCTGGCATGTGGGAGCTGGGAAAAATCAGGCTGCAAACAGGAAGACATTGACCATTATCAATGGCTTGATGAAAGCTAAAACACATAAAAAAGCTGCTGGAAATTTATTCAAAAATGTACTATACCTCATGGGTCAAGCCCAACAACATCTCAACCAATAGTAACATTTCCAGTCTTTGTGATCAGATCAACAAAAAGTTTAGGGTGGAACCTCAAGAGATCCAAGACAAAGTTATGCACATCCATAACAAGCAACATACTGGTACAACAGACTGGTTGGTCCTTTTCAGTTCTGATGGGTGGGCCAGATCTGGTGGATGCTGAGGAGCAGTGTGTGATTGCAAGGTGAGCAAAGTACTACTGATTGTGTTTTAGCTCACACAACAGTGTTCATAAAGCCTTCACATCAGGAAGAATAGATGTGGACTTAATTTTGCAGAGTCTTACTGTCACTTTGACTCCACTGTGGTGCAAGCATATGTGGAATTCCTTGACTCCAAGCTTTGTAAGTTTTTATTCTTTAGTTAGAAAAGCCACAATGCTGACTGGGAAGATGATAATGTACCATGTCATTGCAGCCTCCTCCATCAGCAAGAAAACAGGCCATGACAAGGGCAGCGACACAAACAATGGTGCTGATGTCATGAAGGGTGACAATGATGACAAGCCTGACAACCACAGGAACATGGATGACAAAGATGACACTGATGTTGGTGAGGGTCAGGAAGGTAACAATGCAGGCATTGGCAAGGACAATGAAGGGGATGATGTGGGCATTGGTGATGACCAGGAAGGTGATGATTCAGGCATTGATGATGACCAGGAGGTCGACAATGCTGGGCATTCAGACAAGTTGAGCAATGCTTCCACTCTCATATTTATATTCTCAACACTTTGGTATTTAAGTGTTGCAAATTCTCGTGATGGTATGTCTGTTGCAACAACTCCACCCTGACTCATCACAGGTTCCAGCTCTCGCAACATCATGTTATCCTATCATCTTGCCACTGCACATTCAGACCATGCATCCAAGTATTGCAAGTCCAGCCAAAACTCCAGCATATGTTGCAACACCTTCACACATTGCAATGCCCAGTTCCATCATGGGACTTCCAAGTGTTGCAATGCCTGAGTGCACTCTTGTCCCTTCAGCAAGTATCCAGCCTTCTGGTATTTCCAATCATCTTTTATCTTCACAGGATTTCAGCTCTTTCGGTGCAGAACTGGATAGCATTCTCCAGGCCTGACACAATGTCAATGTTTACACCACAGTGGAACTTCGATGGCCTACCACTCATTAGCTCTAACCCTGCAACTGTCCATGCTATGAACCATTTGATGTCTCTTACTGGTAGTACTACCAATCCATATCTGGACTATTTCACAATGGCAGGGCAATATGAGCACTTGACACAAGACCTGCCTTTGTTACCTCCCACCCCATCTGATGACAGCTCTCTGCCACCAGCCTCCAAGGTGCTTGGGGACCCTCCGCTAGGCTGTCCTAAACACGAACCAGTCCCATCCTTGCATGCCCAGCAAGACAACATGATAGGCAATGTGGATAAGGAGAATGGTTTGGCAGTGCATAGGGTGAAGAAGAAGCAGTCTGAACTCAAGGATGGTGTGGCAAGGAAGTCAAAGTAAGTCGCACAATTCAATTGGGATGCTATGTTTTGATGATAATCATTCACACCAGGAAAAGGAAGACAGTTCCTTAAGCTTTTTGTAATTCATACTCTTCATTGAAATTGTCTCATCATCATGTATATGTCATACTTCTATGTGCAAACATGCTTGAGCTATCCAACTGCATATGCTGGCAGATAAGCAATCAAGTTGTAATTAATATGGTGGTCACAAGGTGTTGCAACATATTGCAATGAAGGGTGCTACAATGCATTGCAATGAAAGTAGTATAGACATTGCAACGAAAGGGGCAAGGGCACTACAACACATTGCAATGAAAGTAGTATAGACATTGCAACGAGTGTTGCAACATGCTGCAACAAAATTAGTATGATTGTTGAAATGTTGACAAAATGCTGCAACACTCTTTGCAACAACCCTGTCGCCGTGAACAATGCAACACTACCTGATGGTAGTTACCGCTTTTCATTGCAAGAATGTTATACTAATCGCTCGGTGATGTGGACCGCGTTGCCCCCTTTCTTGTACTGGTTACTTCCTCTGGGTCCGGTGAATGCGGGCAGCTCGCTGTACACAATACATTCTACCGCTTCGTGACATTTGCGAGGCTCTCGCCGCAACATATCCCCCTCTCCTCTCATACCCGACTAGCGAGCGAGTGGTGAGGAATTTGAGAACGTAATACCATTGCGAGTATTATGTGCCTCGTGTGGGGCAGATCTTCTGGTATGTCACAGCACTATTTGGGAGCACCCAACTGCGTTGTGGGCTCAGACGCGGTGAACTCTGGAGCGATTGTATCAAGGTCCCTGAACTAGCTCGTACTGGTCCTAAGACAGATGAGAGTTGCGGTGGGACACGAATGGATGAGGAATAAAGGGTAGGAATGCCCGTAAGAAGTCGAACGCTAGGCGGAGATGATAGATACTCACCCACCCCTAACTGTGAGAATTGGGACTCTGTTACAAGACACCGACTAGCCCACTCACAGTGCTCAACAGATTGCGGAGCTCTCCATCGGCGATGTGGCAGCCAACCACCCTAGGGTCCTGGACGGCCAAGCGCCTCTTGCGGAGCAGCTTCAGTTGATCTACCATTTCAATTACTCAGATCTCGATATGCGTGATCGTGAGACCGGGTGCAGGACTGCAGTAACAAAACGGCTGTCCGCCTTCTCGACGCCATTGCAGCCATACTGACGATCACCAAGCGTGGAGAGGTCGATGGAGGAGACAGGTGTGTAGTGCCTTGAGACTTCCTCGAGGCCATGTGAGAAATCGCGCACAGCGTCATCCATCTTCACCATCCGCTTTGCAATGTTCGCCCCCAACGAGTAAATAGGAAAGGTAAAACGTCATATGCCTCCGTAGTCTCAGGAGCGGTGATCCAGGACCCGAACAAGTCACGAACAGCCCGGTCGTCTTCAGCGGTGGGAGAGTCGTCCTTTGCCAAGACAAGCGTGACACCTCCACGGGTGTCGAATGCAGCAGCGAAGACATCTCCGGGCCTGCCGGTGGTCAGTGCGACCGCGATGGTGTCGAGAATGTGAATGGTGGATTTGGTGTCATACCATTTCAGCCTATGCCTATTACTAAGATGGTCGACATCCTGGTAACGCATATCAATATCTGAGTACCCGAAGTGATAGAGCAGGTGAAGCCGTTCAGAAAGACGGTGTTGGTCGCTCATTAATACGTTCTGGTGATTTTGTTGAGGCGCCATGTCGCAGATGGAATGTTTCACAATCTGCTGTTATTGGCAGGCTGGTCAGTGTTGCCACAACCCAGAAACACACCAATAACCTGCGATGGTCGATAGCAATAGCTGGGAGGGTGCACCCAGCAGTGCGCACTTCAATAAGTATGACTCATATGTAGGTCCTCATGTTTTAAACTTCGGGTGTGGGCGCGTTCTCGAACAGATTCTACAATACACTTCTGGTAAGAACACAAGAATAACAACAAGGGCTGCCAGTGGTCTGCACGCCGCCAGGACGACAAAAACCACCAGAAGTCTGGAAGACTCTGATGGCTGAATGTGGAATGGACAAGTACGACGCGGGTGGCAATCGTACTAACCGGTGGGCTGGTACATTCATCCTGGCTGCATCATATTCAGCCGCAGCAGTAGGCACTCGTAATCTTTGTTCCTATATTTGCGCTGCGAGTGATCCGCGTCCGAGTTTATGGTGAGGGAGAAAACAAGGGAATAGGGAAGTACAGGAAGAAATGAGACCACCAAGCAACTGATGGGATCGGAACGTCTGTGGCGGACACAAAGCTAAAATAGTATAGGGATGTGAGTCTGCCGTGACCGACTGCATGACGAGGATAGGAACAAGTCGCTTTTCTGTGTCGCTCCCATACGCTCCGTGTATCACCCGCCTGTGTTGGCTTCGTGGGCTCGACAGATATACGATAGATTGCGGCTAACACCCATAAAAGTATTCGTCGGCTATCTGAGCAACGAAGTTGCGTAACATGGAGGAGTACAAACCAAGTAGATGTTTAACATGCTGCACGTATTTGTCATGATGGTGAGGTGAGACGTACCACCTGCCTGCACGGGCTGTTGATAAATAGTCCAACCGCTGGCCATGACATCGACGCTATCACTGTACCGCGGAAATAGTTGATAAACAACAGTCGAACGAAATACAAATACGCTCCCTGAGGTGTCTTGGTGGACGTATTGTGGTACTTACGATCATGTTACAAGTTTGCCTCGTCAACGATTCGATCGTGGGTTCAAGCCGATACAACTTGCACACGTTCGCCGGCTGTATACGAGAGGGGAGGAGAGGATACGTAGACGTTCTGTGAGGGGGGGGTATGGTATGGGGGTAGACCGTCTACACTCATACCCCACTTGTTTCCCACAGCGTTCGTCCAACCGCTCCACTCACATGTGACTGGCGAGCATGCGCGGGTCGTATCAGTTTGAACCCGCGACCGAAAATTGAAACATTGACGAAGTCAGGCTCGTAATATTATCGTGAGTAAGACTTCGTCGGTTGTTTCACCAAGTTGCTCCCAGCCCCCATCTCATAGTACGATCAAAAATGAAGAGACGCCGAAGTTATTGTGGGAATGTAGTTCTGGATGCAGACAGTACCGCCGTCTCAGTGAACAGAAAGCATTTGTCCACCACGAATAAGACCTACCGGATTGTAGAACTGAGCGACATCCGGAACTAATCATAACGGAGCAGTGAGACACACCACGTACCTGCGCTGGATGGACTACGAGGGACCCTGTTGATCCCATGAGGAATGGACGGTTGTACAGGTACTGATTAGATCCACTTGTCCTTCGGAGGTGCAGATCGGTACTCATGCTGGAATCGTTTGAAAAATCGACCTTTGTCTTTCAAATGGAGTATTGCAAAGAAAATCCTTACCGCAGAAATATTGATAAGAAGGAGGAAAATAAAATAGAATGAACCACACGGCCTGTGCTGGGTAGCAACATACATGTAGTACTACTCGGGATAAGTTTGTGTAGGAGCCTGCCTCGTCAGTCGTGGTTTCGAGCTGACACTGCCCACTCACTTTCCAGTCGTACATGAGAGGAGAGGGGGAATATGTAGATGAGTTCGGTGGGGGATTGGTTTAGTCCGGGTGTGGATGTGAGAGGGTGCACGTGGAGAGGAGAGGAAAGGGAATAAGAAGTGTGCTAACCGTGGCGAAACCGCACAATGCATTAATATTGGTTGTGTGCGGCGAGCTGTCCACACTTCACTAGACCATAGGGAGCAAGCAATTCGATAGGAGAACTCCACCCGACGTGTTCGCAACCGAGAAGATTCGCTCTGAGAAACACCAGCTTCTGAAGCTGAACTTGCTAATTAACGCCCGTTCACGTATGCAGTCACGTGCCATGATTTCCACGTGTTCACACTGGGTGGCTGTGCAATACGTCTAACTGCGTCAGACTCGGTGGACGTCTCCAAAATCTCACCGCCAGTCCCGCCATGTCTTTCTTCTCCCGTCTGTTCAAGAGGGTCTGTCAGTTTTCACTTATCAACTCCTGACTGTGCGCACTTACCAGATCCTAAGCAGAGCGGCTCCGAAGATTATGAGCAAATCCTTTCCACCCTAGCTGCGGACGTGCAGAAGCGACAGACGCGTCTCGCCGAGATCCGTCTTCGAGAGCGACGCACGACACTGCACTTCACGCTTGGGACGATCCTAATTTGGTTCGCATATGTCAGTCTGTGGTATACGCGGACCCTCCCACAGACGTGGCGCGAGTCAGGACCAGGAAAGGCGGCGGTGTTGGTTGGACCTATATTGTCAGTGTGGCATGCCAATCTGGTTTATGTGCAGCCTTCTCATGCGAAACATACAGGATTCTGTTTGCGAGGCGGATGATGCAGATATGGTATTCATGGAAAGGGGGCCGAGAAGGTGACTCCATTCGATAACCCGTTTAGACTCCTGAACGTGCTCACTAACGGCTACATGCAGAGAGGACACTTATGGCAGTACTAAAGAAACAACGTACCAAAATCGAGGAAATTAAGCAGAAGACGAACTACTATTCTACTCGAAACCTGATCGAAAAGTACGACGAGTCACCGTCATCGTCCACCCCAAATGCCACGCCATTACGTCGCCGGAATGTCGCTGCTAGTGTGCCTCCGACACCCTTGACATTGCAAACCCCATCGTCGCAACAGTACCCGGCAACCCCGAATCGGCGGACAGAACCGTCCGCCTTGCAGTTATCTCGTACGTGCATCACTGCTTGTTATGTCATTAAGCTGACGTCTACGACCCAGCGATACCGCAGCCGATACAAGCGACGCGAAAGCAGTGGTATGATAAACTTGCTGATGCGATATTGGGGGACGACGAGTCGTCTGAGAGCGTGGCAGCTTCACGATACGCACTCATCTGTCAAAAGTGTTTCGCGCACAATGGCCTCGTGAAGGAAAGCCAATGGGAGGATACGCGTGAGCTACACCTTCAACCCTCTGAACGCAGTTGCCCTTCTGATGCTAACCTCATGTCGATTTCAGAGTATATCTGCCCCAAGTGTGGCTTCTTCAACCCTTCGGCGAGGTCTAAAAAGCAAAGTGCTTCTCGCACACCTTCATCCGCCTGACACGTCCACTCCTTCGTCTGTTCGATCGGTAGAGCACAAGCCGTCAACTTCGAACTCGAAACCGCGATTATCTGATCCTCATTCGGTGCCGGAAGAAGCGATGGAAGTGGACAGCAAGTGATTCGTGTCGTTTCCGTGGCTATTTTCATTATCCGAGATAGGAATAAGTCACTTTTCTATGTGGCTTTCCCCCCCGTTTCTTGTTTTTGGTTTGTCACTCGCCTTTGTTGGCTTTGTAGGCATTTTAATCCTGGATACTTGATAGATCTCGCATTCAACTGAGAATAACTTGTAGCTTAGGCTCATGGAATGAACAGAGAGTGTACGTCAGTCACCTAATAAGGCCGACCAGTCCCAGTGGGTATCTGCATCGTCGTGTAACTAGGCGACATGATTGCGCATGATGGAGGAGTCTAAACTAGATACTTCACGCATTGACCATACTTCCGTCGTGACAGAAATGAAACACGCACTCTAGTTTTTTTTGGGGGGAAAGAGGGATGTAAACACACTAGAAAGGCAACTAACTAAATCTAGTGGAATTTTGTCGATAGCTTGGGTAGACCGAGTCAATGTTGATGCTGCTGACTGCTATTACTGAGGTGGTAGCCGCAATTTTGAAGTTTTGCTCCCCTGGCAAACCTTTCTGGTAATCGCTGTATCGTTTTACTACTATCCTTTTATACTGACCCACTCGTATACTCGCCTAAGTGAATGCTTCGACATTCCCCCAAGAGTGTATCACGCTAGCCAGGCAGAACAGCCAGGGCCGTACTGGCTCCAGGCCCACCGACACGGACTTCACCGACCCCAGTCTCTACGACGAGCATGTCTCTTCCGGCTCCCCTCCCAACGCTATCTCCAAAGTCGAGGCTACCTTCTACTATTCGGGGATCTCCAATTCCCCTCCCAAGCTGGTCTACCGCACCTCGAAGGACCCCTTCGTCATGCCCAAGGGACCAGAGGCATATCGTCGCTTGAAGCACCTCTATCCAGTCTACGACCACAAGCTTGGCGACAAATGGGGGGACCTCGGTCCCAAGGTTCGTCATCTTCTCGACGAGCAGCAGGTCCGCCTTTCGACCATTGACCTCGTCCGTTTCCGCACGGTCCCGGACCAACAAACACCTGTTGTTATTGGCCCCGTCGTGATCTGGATCGGCGTTCTTCCCGATAGTCTCACCGGTGAAGATGCGTTCAATACAGCCAACGCCATACTAGCACTCCTCGAGGACGAGGGCATTGCAAGCCGTCGACATCGAATTCCGTGAATCGGTGTTCAGGCGCTCAGCTAGTGCCGAGCTCTACGAACCCGCCTCAGACCTGGATGCAACCAGGCACGTCATTGATCCTCTCACTACTGCGCTTGGACTTCCTATTTCTGCTGCAAAGACGCCCCACCTTCGGGGCACTATGGGTTTCTACTTCAAGAACGGAGACGACCTCTACGGTGTTACGGCCCGCCATGTCCTCTTCCCAGCAGATGAGGACAATTCCGACTACACCTACAACCCCAGCAGGCCTCGTAAGGAAGTCCTCCTCATGGGCACCAAGGCGTGGGACGACTACCTCAAGTCCATCCAGATCCGGATCGGAAACCTTGGCACTGCAGCGGAGATTTACAGGGAGTCGATCAGGAGGTTGGAGGGGAGGGCGGTAGGCGATACCCCTGTCGCTGAGAAGGCGAAGAAGGAGCTGACGAAGACTCAGGCAGTTACTGGAGGAGGCGACCAATGCTATCGATGAGCTTCAGGAACTCTACGAGCGGTCGAAGAAGGACTTCGGTAAGCAGAGCCAGCGTGTGATCGGCCACGTTGTCTGGTCGCCTGCTATCGCTGTCGGTACAGTTCCACATAGCTTCACCAAGGATGTTTGCGTCGTCGAGCTCGATAAGGCCAGGTTTTTGCCTAACTTTAAGGGCAACGTTATTGACTTAGGTGTGTGCTGATCTTTCTCACTAAGGGTGTAACTGTTTATATTCAGGGACGGAGATCGAGGGCGCCAAGTTCGATGTATCCTCGCACGCACGCGCAGTCCGGCTTCAAGTACCCAGCCGAACGCCTCCTCGTGCTCAGGGACATTCTCGCCGAGGATTGCATGCGCCATCCCAAGACGAAGGACCACGACGGCGAAAACAGCCTCTACGTCATTAAGCGCGGCCTTACCACTCTCACCACGATTGGTCGTGCCACTGGATGCTTCTCCTATGCTCGCGAGTACTTCTCCAACCAAACTCACCGGGACTCGATTGAATGGGCAATACTCCCATATGACAGCGACTCAGGCGCGTTCTCCAAGGGCGGAGACTCCGGGTCGATGATCGCCTGCGGCACTGGCGAATTCGGTGGCCTCCTTACTGGCGGGTCTGGCAGGATGGAGTCATCAGATATTACTTATGCCACGCCGATGTTCTGGCTCTGGCTCATCATCAAGGCCGAGTTCCCTAATGCCACCCTCTACCCGGTCTTCAACTAGATTCGTCTCTTTCTTCCGTCTCATCCTGTGCTACATCTCCCCCATGTCTGTGAACGTCCTGCACAGTGTGGCTAGAGTGTCTTCTGAAGGGGAATGATTGCTGAGTTCTCGTGTTATGGCCCTCAAGTAGTCTCCATCTAGATTGAATATAGTTTCACCCATGTCGCAAATCGGGCTGGCCATTCCATGCTTAATCAGGCTGCTAATACCGTCAAATTACTGGCAAATTTTGGCGAGATGGTGTTGAAGCCTCTCTGCCTGCAGTGTCTGGTCGAGATGGATGGGACTGGTGTCCTCGCAGAGGAAATGTAGAAGACGGGTTCTTTTGATAATGAGGGTGACGAATGCAAAGCTGTCTGTAGATGGGGTGGAGATCTAGCGTCTCTGAGAGGGTCTGCAAGTTGAAATCATGAAGCACGACCGTAATAACCGTCAAAAGATCATGCATGATTTACATGGGCGGGATGTGTTCTTCGTCACACTGCGTTGGGGGGTATCGGTACCTTACAGAGTTGGAAAAATCCTCTTCGATGGAAGGTAAGGGGTCATAGCTCCTTGGGACTTCGTTGAAGTGCACCAGAGAGTATCGTAGCTTTATCTATCTTCGCGTTATTTTCCCCGCAACAGGAAAACAGGGATGACAAAACAAGTCGTGCCCCTATACCCTTGGCAGCCGTGATCGCCTTGAACAAGTCACAAACTGCCTGATTATCTTCGTCAGTGACATCGTCGTCCCTTGCTGAGACAAGCGTGAGACCCTTACGGGTATCGCGTCAACCCCATCCACAACATCAGATAGAAGTGCCTATTGTGAGCTCCGGTTTTAAGCTAACTGCACCCTCAAGCAACGCAGCAGAGAAATCCGCATCATCCCGAGAACACCACAAAAAGAAGGCTCATAGTCGTCAAAACTCGTTAAAGACTGTAAAGACATACCAGCCGTCAGGCTGTCTGCGTCATCGAGTAACCGAGCTGCTTTCCGGAAGGAGTACTTGCACATGACAAGAAGCCGGAGCTACTTAGATATTTCACGTATTGCTTGAATTTCTGCCGCGACAGTGATAATGGTGAGGTCAGACGTACTACATACCCGCGCCGACTGGAACGTTAGGCGTTCCGCTGTCCATATGAGAAATGGGTGATGGTAAACAGGAGTGTATGTGGCATTGATGTGGACGATCGTCCTTTCCGCATTGACACTTACCCTTGCGACCGGAAGTGGGAAGCTGGGTTACACTGATTTATCGTTGGGAGGTCTTCAAAGTGCAAGGTTGTTCTTTTATCTTGATCGTAGAAATGGTTGATTGAAAGAATCAGATGGACCGCCCACCTTGAAATGTCGCTGAGCATCACCAAAATTGTCAAACTCCGCTATTTCCCGATAAGGAATATATTTTCGAGTGGCTGTGCCGCTGACGTGCCGCGAGTCGGTCTCGTGATACCGTGCACCCCTGTGTGTCCTGTTGATTGCTGAGGCAACGACATAGCATTTATCGATCTACATCAACATCCAGCATGCGCTGGTTACTATATTTTGCGTCTACCACACATGCAGGCCTGTACATATCAATGAATATATATATCACCACAAGTTCATTGTTCTGGGCCTTGCCAATCACTTCATTAGAATGCACTCCTATGACATGCTCAGTAGTAAAACATAGTTACACTTTACAGTAATCCATACTGAGAGGGAAATTGAAAGCCTAAGAGGAGCTCTGGTGACATTTAAGCTTCTTGCATGCCATAGCAAGCTCATTGACAATGACTGGAGGAACAAGGGGGGTGACAAAATATTCAGAGGGTGAGCACTGCTTGAATACCTGGCAGGGAGTTGCAGAGCATGGGCTGTGAGCAGACATCAGTAGAGAAACCACAAAGAATACCCTACAGCACACCTAAACTTTACATTCTCCACATCTTGCAATGTAGGCTCACACTTTACTGTGAGTGTAGTATCATTGGCTTGGGTGAGGGAGGGGTCACTGGCTTGCATGGCCTGCTCCTTTGTCTCCTTGCTGTCTGTTTGTATAGCAACATCATGACAAGGCTTCCTGGGATAGGGGAACAATTAGAATACACATTTAAATGTAAAAGGATAGCTTGTGTTACCTACTGCAGATGTCTTTCAGACAAAACACAACTCATTTCCTGTCAGGGGTGGTGATGTTGACATTGAAGTAATGCATGTTCCAGGGTGAAAGGGTGCCATTGATTTTGGGGTAGATGACATCTTGAAGCATGTTGATGGTCATTGCCCTGATTTCACCTGCCATTATTACCCTGTTGTAGTAAGGCCCTGTCTCAGAAGCAAAATGGCCACTGCCACTCAGAAGCAGATCAGCAAATTCCAGTAATGCAAATTACAAAGTAACTATAATTGCATCTGTTGAGAAATGACATCAAATATATGATGATTTAACATGAATATATGTGTACACATTCAAGCTGAGAGGCATCTAAGAAGACAAAATCATTGACTTTGAATGAAAATGATGAGTAACTAAAGCATCCCATATCCCTCCTGGGCATACAAGTTCTTGTTATCATTGAGGCCTGCCACCATTTTGCTGTCATTATCATCTGATTTGTCATCATCAGGCTCACTGGAGCTTCCCTCATCCTCATCCAGGTCTGTATCATCATCTTCCTCTTCTCCACTCATCTCGTTGTCCTCCTCAGCTCCTTGTGCTGTATCAGCTTCTTTGCATGTGCCACTGACCTCCTCACCAGCAGTTTGACAGTCTGATTGTAAGAATGAATCCCACTCCCTGGATACCTTATGCCTGATGCTGCCACCTCGAAACCACATGAACATATCTCAATCAACAAACCTATCTGAGCTTTAAGTATGCATCCATGTTGATTTATTTCCTCACTTACATGTTAACATCAAAATATCACCAGTCCTCATGGAGGTCCTCATCAGGCCACATGAATGATGGTCCTAAATATTCAGATGTTTTTCTGAGCAAGAAAGCTGGAATCAGATGGACACCATGAATGACTACATCTGGGTCATCACTGGAAATGAATCCTACCCAATACAGTCAGCATGCAGCAAACCCTGATCCCCCTGTTCTGCCATTATTGCAGCTGAACCACTGCACAAAGAGCATGTTCATCCACTTTATCCCATCAGATGAGGCATTGTTGTCATAGTACCATACATTGACATGGAAAATTTTAATGATGCATGCATACCAATATGGGTGATGACAATCATCTGTCTCGTGTGACAAGAGCATGATATCAACATGAGTGCATAGATTAATGGTGTCTTGTTCTCAGCAGAGGTTGTAGGTTGTATAGTTGACACACAATGTCTGATGCTCATACATCATATTATGTGAGATGATAAGATTGTTGTGGTTGGCATTGGAAAAGCTTGGTGGGTCACCAGTGTAGTCCACTCCAAGAATGCATTCAAGGAGATGGTCTTTGAGGTGGTCAACAAAGTCCTGCAAAGAGTTAGTTGGTTGCATGCAGCCATGCACACCAGATGACATACCTCAGTGGCTCTGTCACCTGCCAATGAACTCAGCCAACCAGGGATGTCCACAGGAATTCATGATGATGCTGCAATGTGATAATGTTGAGAGGGTGAAGACCTCTCACATTTCTGCCTTGGGCAGTTTTCACCACCACTTTCACTTCCTTCAGTGTTGTTGCATGCCAATTTATCAAGAGACTTGACTATTTGGTCAATAACTCATTCTTGAGCCTCGTGTTTGCTCATGGATGCCATTGTTGTAGCATGGTTCTTTGAAGTTTGTGGGTACTGCTGCTTCAACTGCCTGTGTTCAAATTTGCCCTATGAAATTCATCTGTAAGTGTTTTACAATTGTGCAAAAACAATCCTACTGGTTGCATTGTGTAATTATCTGTTGTATCACATTGTTGGATCATGTTTGGATAGTCACCTAGGGCATGGAACTTGTATGTTTGCAGATTGAGGGATTTGTGTTTGGGTCCAGATGACCCAGCTGAGTTCAATATACTGGTCTTTACTGCCATTGCTGTGGTACAGCAGCCACGGACAGCTGTCTCTTGTGGTAGTTCACGTGTGTCATAGTACTCACACATTGTCTTCATGAAAGTACAGTGTCTCCATGCAGCAAGATGGATTTCCTGCATGTTTGATATGTACTGTAACCTGAACAAAGTCATTCAAGTCTCCCATGCCCTCAAAGCAGACAATACAGCAAGTGGTACCAATGACCCCAATGATGAAAGTGCTAGAAAGGCCTGCGATAACATCCTTAGAAAAGTGTAAGTACAACATTTAACAGCATATATGTGATGTTCTTATGGTCACAGCAACCCTGAGAAATGCAAACAATACAAGTGCATATATGACTACCTGAAGGAGCAGGCACTGTACTTCATAGATCTCATTAAGAAGAAGAAGAGTGGCAAAACCACACTTCTCATGCATGAGGTAAGTCAACAGTGACTCGAGTCTAGTGCATCATGCAGCTAACAAGTGACTTTCTTTCAGATGCAACAAGTGATCAGCCAGATGCGATCTGACAACGCCAGTCATCTCAAGCCTATGATTTCAGCTTATGCAGCTCCCCATCTGGACAAGAAACTTGTCAATCCACCTGTCAATGCAAAGAGTTCAAAAGACAGGCTTGGGTTCAACCACACAGAGCTCACTCAGCTCCTCTGTCCAGTGAGGAGCCTGCAGGCTTTGCTAGCAGATGTGACTGGGTATGGGTATGTACCATTCCACTTGATGTTATCAATCAGCTGATTTGCTGTTCCATAGGGTGAGGAAGCAGCTTCAGAATGGTAGCATCCTTGTTACCACCCAAAAGTGGCCAGCATTTCTTTACTCTGGCAACATCCCAGGTAAGGACTATAATCCTGAGAAGAGCAATGAAGGATTCCTCTGTGGATATTTCGTTGAATGAGTAAGTGTATACTACTGCATGTGTATCAACTACTAATTTAAGAATCAAGTCCTCAAACACATCTTCACTTTGCCATCTTCTGCTTTGCCTGGTAGTAAAGTGTGCAACACATGTGCCAGAAACATGAAGATCCACCACATGACCCACATAGAAGCTTACCATATTGCATATGCCACAGTACATGTAAGTGATATGGCATTAGAATGATATGCACTACCCTCTTCCACAGGCACGTTTCAGCATCTGTTCACAAGACAAATTCATCAAATTCGATGGGCAATTCTCTTTTTCCAAGTTTTATTATCAAATTATTGACTTTATCATCAACAACAAAGACGAGGCTTGGGTTGAAGAGCTGTTCTCTCATTACAACAAGTATGTAAGGGGCTCTTGTGGAGTGCATACTGACACAAAGGTATAGAGTATTGTTTAATGATGTTCATGGCACCACAGGTGATGATGTCAATATCAATGACAATGATGACAACCTTGCCACCATGAGGCAACAAATTGCTGCACATCTTGCCAGTTTGTCTGGCCTGTCTTCTGGGACTCACCCTTCCAAAAATTGTTCACCTACTCAGGTGTCCTTCCCAAATACTCCACAGCCCCCAGCTTCAGAACATCACACAAATGGACACAGGCTGTTGCCAGGAAGTCCCCTGTCTCCCATCCAGTCACCTGAAAATACAGGTTTTTCATTCAGTCAGCTGTCCTCCTTTTGCTCACCAAAATCTGCTTCAGAAAATGACACAAATGGCTGCAGGGTGTTGCCAGGAAGTCCTCTGTCTCCAGTCCAGTCTCCTTAAAATACAGGTTCATCATTTAGTCAGCTGTCCCTAGTGTGCTCACTACAGCCTTCTACTTCAGAACTGGAATGCCATGCCCAAGGGCAATCACAAGCAAATCTGGATCCTTCACCTGCTTTGCAGGTGAACAATCTCACTGATCGGATGCCACAACTCAAATGCAAGTGCAGTGTGACATTTTCCACTGGTGAACAGAGTAGTCCATTAATGGACTGTGATTCATGGTGGGGTAGGAAGGCCACCATGAGTAAGCCTTCTAAGATGACAAAGGAGGGATGTGGTGGACACTCTAAGAAGACTAAGGATCAGAGTAAGGTGTGAACCAAGGAAATGATGACAAGGAGATCAAGCTTGTGGGCTTCCAAGAAAAAGTAACTCATGCATGCCTAATCTCATTAAGTTCTGTCATTCAGTGGTTACCTATTTGAGGCAGCCACCATCATGTGTTTTATTCATCCACTTGTCACTGTCTTGTTCTGCTCTCTCACTTGCACACTTCCCAGCCATTTTACTCTCCAAGTCCCACACTGGCTGTGTATATTGGTATTCCATGGATTTCTCAAGATGGAACCATCGATCACCAACTAGTGATGTATACATTCAGATAGCTACAGGTATTGGGATTGTGTGTGGTATGATGGTGTTGTAACATCAGCAAAACACAAAAATGTGTTAGTAACTCATAGCTGTCCATAGTATTTGCACAATTTTCATATTAGTCCAAAGCAATGTCAAGCATCCTAGCAACTCATAGTGCCAGAGTAGACTACACCAGACTTGCCCAAAGTAGTGGCCAGCATCCAAGCAACTCATAGCACCTGAGTAAGCCACACCAGTGATACCAGCAATCCAAAGACCAATAGCTACCTAGCATACAAGGGAACAGACACACCTAGCTAATACAGCAACCTAGATTCCCACTGTAGTAGAGAACTTGGTAGATCTAACTTTGTTCCTATGCATGAAGGCAACAACACACAGACATAACATACAGCATTTTTTGATAAGTACAGGAAAGTAATGGATAGTACTAGTCTAGACAAATGGCAAGTATTCAACTACCAGCATGCTCAATAACTGTGCCTATCAAGATCCAGAATAAGTAAAATAGTGGCCCAAAAGAAAAGAGCAAGCATAGCATACCATCAGACTCAAGAGATGGCTGCAGCTCACCAGCCAGAACACTAATGTCAAAAATAGGCTCCCCCAGTCTGCGTTTTTTCATTGCTACATGTAATGAGCTGACCTCCATATCTTTTTCGTGGACTCTCACCTTGCCGCTGCCTGCCTTGTACTTGTACAACTTGGCCATTGATTCATATTTGTGGGCGATGCATGCAGCCAGAGCTTGTTCTGCATGAAAGACTTTGCATTGTGTGCACACTACATCGAGAAGGAGAAGTGCCTTGTGATTCAGCTGACTCTTTGATTCATGCTGCAGATTGAAAACCTATCAATGAGTGGTTATTAGGAAGGAAAAAAAGAACTTACTGTGTGAGTGGACGACTCCAATATCCCATACATCTCAGCTAAGACACCAGTTGTCTTTGCTTTGACCTCAGTACTGCTAGAGGGACTGTTGCAGGAAGAGAACCTGCCATCATGAGGCTTATGGGGCAGTCCTTTGCCACCTGGGTGATGCTTGACTGTGGGCATGGTTGATCCAGCATGAAGGTGTGTGTGATTGAGGTTATAAACAGGCATGAGTGTCTATGTTCACAAATGGGATGTGATTGGGTAGTATATGAGAAATACACTCCATAGTGATCTGAACAATGTCCTGATTTGCACTGAAGTGATAATCACATAACACAGAATCAGCCTGCCTGACCATCTAGAGTATGCCCCACTGTCCAAGTTGTGGTAAAGGTGGCTTCCAGAGTCACAGCGCTGTTGCAATGCACATGAGCCAGCCATCCTCTGGGTGCAATACCTGGGTCAATAACTTAGTCTGCCTTCACGAGTCTCTCCAACCTTCGAGCTTGAACATTTGTAACTCTCAACACCCAACACACTTAGAAGATGTCCCAATGAACACTGACCCTGATGACTATGCAACTCACGATTACCTGGATTTTGTTCATATGGCATTTGACACATGGGGGCCAACCACAGATGACTTCAAGGGCACAGCTAAAACATTTGGACTTGGCCCAACATTTATGGACAAATTTAACAGCGACCAGTTCAGCAACCTACAGGCATCAAATCTGTACTACCCCTTCAACTCCCACAATGAATGGGAGCTGGCATTGTGGTTACTTCATTCAGGCCTGAGCATGAGAGCTATAGACTCTTTCTTGTCATTGTCAATCGTAAGCCTGTCCCTATTCTCTCCAAAGATCATTATTGATGTGCGCCAGATACAGCTACTAAATATTTCCTTTCATACAGCCAGAGCACTTCATGGGCTGGCTGAGTTACTCCCTGGCAGGCTGTGCTGGCACTCAATGGAGATTACTCCTTCACAGCCAACCAAACACCCTGTGCACATCATCCATGAACCATGGATACAAGTTAGCTCTCCTCAGAGCCTTGGTTATGTTACAAATATTATCTTTGAGTCCTTCAGAGATACATTTACCTCCATAGCTCCCAGGTCCCTGATTGTCCCTCTGAAAACAATTCCCACATGTGTCCATAGCTATTCTGCCTCCTTCAACCAGGGTGGCTTGTCAGAGGACAGCCTGGTCAGCCTATATGACAACAATAGAAAGTGCTGGAACTGGGAGCTTCGTCCACCCCCAGGCTCTGATTCACCTCCCAAGCAACCTGGGCCACTTGCCTCAGAGCTGCTGGTAGAATTGGAAAAGCTCTGCTTTGAAAAGCAAGTTGCTCTGTTTCTCAATGCTATCGGAACTGCTGCCAAATCCATGATGCCCAGTCTATCCAGCAAACCCCAGTGTCAATGGATGGTGGACTGGAGCAGAACCAGCTTGTGAGGTTCTATGGGTTATTCCTGAAAGCCTGACCTCATCCTTGTTGATAACACCCCAGTATCCCTCGATGAGATTATGTGGTTAAGTCCCAAAGTCATTGCCAAGTACTCAAAGGAGTCTTTCAAGCCAGCATCCTGCCTTGGGAAGACAATGGACACTAAGGCATATCTAACCTTCATTGACCAGCCCTGGAGGCACTATGTCCTTGGATTATCAATTACTGATAGCAAACTTCTTTGACTTCACTTTTATGACCACTTTGGTGGTGCAATCTCACCCTCTATCAATATCCACACTGACACAGAAGTCTTCATATACATTGTATGTGCCATTGTGTTCAGCTCCTGCTCAACCCTTGGCTTCAATTTGACCATAGAGATATCCCCCCATCCTGCACACAGCCACAAATGCACAGCACTTGTGATACCTCTCTCCCCTTTCTCCTCTCCTGCAATGCCTTCTCCTCACTTGGAGTCAGGCATCCTCCCCAGTGCAAACTCACTCCTGACTCCTGCATCACCTGAACACATCCCAGAAATTGGGAGGATCCAAGTAAACAAGACCTTCTATGAGGTGCTTGATGTATTATTCTTGAGCACAGGCTTTCTAGGAAGGGGTACTGTTTGTTACCTTGCACGCTACAATGGGGAATACTACATCATCAAGGATTATTGGGTGGAGGAGTCAGAGCAGAGGACAGCCCTGCACGAAGTCAACATGATGAAGCTAGTCCAGGACATTGACAGAGTTCCCAAGTTGCAACACTACTGGGTCATCAAGGTTGAGCCAGGCATTGTCAATAAAACTGAATGATATCATGATGAGAAGTGGCGATCATGCATGAAGTCTTGGAGAACTCATGTGCAATTGGCTATGAAGCCATGTGCAAGGCCAATGGTAATGTTCAAGACAAAAAAGGAACTCGTTTCATGCATCCAAGATATTTTATGAAGTACATATCCTCTTCCACTTGTAAAATCAATACTAATTGCTTTATCAGTCCAACAGCAGGCTCTTGAGAGGGGTGTCCTCCATCAAGATTGTAGCATCAACAATACAATGATCAAGGACTTCACAAATGGGTCACACAGCTTTCTCCTTGACTGGGAATTTGCTGTACGGGTCATGTTACAGGGGGAATATGACTTGGGTGGCACAGTAAGTACTATGCAAAACGTTTTGGAACTCGAAGCTGATAGTATGCAAAGGGGACAGTCCCCTTCCTTTCAGTGAATACCCTTTGCCAACTCAAGGAAGCCATCACTAAAAGTGGGAAGACTAATGTCCCATCGATCTGGAAAAGTGCCTCTCTCACCCACATATTCATTGATCACCCTACTACTATACACCATACATTTGTGGATGATATTGAATCCCTGTTCTACATTTTCATCTGGATCCTCATCCTTTATGATGGGCCACTTGGCCATGAGTGTCAAGATATCAGCCATGAAAAGACACTTCTTGGCTTGTGGAGTGAAAAGGTGGCTGAAGATCTCGAAATTGCCAGATGCACCAAGTTCACATTCCTTAATGACCTGTCTGAATTGAGGCTGGATTCCAAGGTCTTGCAATATTTTCAAGATCTAATCCCTCTGGCTAATGAGTGGCACATATTGCTTGGGCAGTCCCTGCTGAGTGGAACTGCAGTGCAGTTCTCTGATGTTATCTCCCTTTTTGATCATTTCTTGGCCAGCATGCCATACGAGAAACCACCAGAGATGACAAATGCATTCCAGCAGATCATTGCCCAGCACAAAGTGCTTAATTCAAGCATGCGTCCAAGTCAGGAGAATGATATGGATGTTATGTCTTTGGCAATTATGTCTTCTAAATGCCTTTGTGAAGAGGTAAGGAGCATGGATAACCCTCCTATACCCAATAAATGCTTCAAAGGCATGTAGTCTTAGCATGAATTTTATGTTTAGTTCACATTCTGTACATTACATGTAAAGTGTTTCAATTCATTTGCAGCAGGTAACCATCTCCATGCATCATTTTGTTTTACATCTCATGATGAACCTGTCAACATTTATATGGATTCACAAGATGTCATTTTGTTGTGGTCCCCAGGCTTCCATTTTATACTGTTCTCTGTTTAACTGCTTGTACCTTCAGATGTCCACCCAATCTGGAACAATCCCACCAAAAAAGAAGGATAGCAAAAAAGCCAAATGATGACCAGAGGCTGACAGAAGCACTCAACCCACAAAAAACAAGCATCTAGGAAGCCCACCTGTCAATCTCGAAGAGTCTCAGTCTGTTGCCACAGTGGGACTCCATCATAGCAGAAGGGCAGGGGCGGGTTCAGGTGGAAGGGTCAAGTAATTGGAGCAGATTGGTACTGCCCTTGAAGGCTGAGCTACATGGCTGCGAAAGTCGATGGATCTCCCCAACAATTCCATTGTAAATCCTCTTGCACCTCTGCCCACTCAGCAGAAAAAGGGTGGGGGCCACAGTGCTGGCCAGAATGCAAAACCAAAGGTCAGTTCTAGTTATTTGCAAATATCAAGCTAACCACTTGCAAAGTCCAATGTTGCCCCACCACCCTACATGCCTGCCATTGTGAATGGTCCTAGCCCAGTTGATATGCCTCTGGCAAGTGTCTTTTCATACTGATATACAATGTTCATTTCAGAATCCCATCCCTCAGTCTTCAACAGCAGTAGCAACACCTGTCTTCCATCAGCACCCCACAGACTCCCATCGCTTTGGTTTCAGTGTTCTGGTTCAACAGCCAGGTCATATCATGCCTCCTGGGATGGAACCTGACCTTCAAGTGCTCAATAATCCTTATACTTATATTGCTGCAATTTGGGGTGACCAAGTTCCCAGTAATACATCTCATCTGCCAACACCCCAGCCCAACTACCAGTCTTGGTTTATCCCCCACCAGCCACCTGCTACTATCCCCAACTCTTGTATTGACCCCTCCCTTGATAGCTCGCTCTCATCGAGACAAACTTTGGCAACCACTGACATTCACCACAAGAGTTCAGAGAAGCTGTCATCAGAGGGCTCCTCAGAAGAGGAGTCAGAGTCCTTGAGTAATAACCCATCGGATGCAGAGGCTGGCGAGGTCTCTGGCAATGAGTTCAACAAAGATGAGGATGATGCATTTGGATGGGGTGCAACGAATCTTAGGCAATCAACTCATCCTGGTACATGTCAGAGGTTATTATGGTATTGGCTCAACATTCTTTGTCAGGCTTCTCCCAAGAAATGATGACAAGCAATCCTATTCACCACAATTCCTTACCCCCTGACCATGAGTTCCAGTACTCACACAATGAGGATGATGATGCAGCTCTGTGAAGCTTACAATCCAAGGACAAGGCTCAGCCAGAGGTACGAAAATGCCATTCCTGCTAGCTTTATTTATTCAGATTGTTATTTTAGGGTTCCCAACATGGCACTGCCATTGATGTTCTTGAACGCCACCATCGCACTAATGGCCGCCCCATTCCCAATCGTGATCTTCTGTCCCTTGTGCATGACTCGGTCAACAAAGTATCTCAGTGTGCCAGAGCCCCTCATAACTCCAAGAAAGCTAAGGATGAGGGCCCATTGCCTTCACAACTGAGATTTTACAAGGCAGTATGGAAGGACTGTCTTGAAGACGCTAAGCAAGAATGCAGGGCTGCACATGCACTTTCTAACCTGTTCCCATTGAAATCTCATGACCTCAACCTCTCCATAACAGAGGTACTTATCACTGTTGTCATTGAGTGGAATCAACACAGTGTGCAATTTGAAGATGGTGAGTAACAATGTTTTTGTTTTATACATGTCTTGTTATCCTAACTTTATAGGTTACTGGCCTGACCACAAGCAAGATATGGCATGCCTTGTAAGTAGTCCCATCTTTCAGTTACAGCTACTGACATACTGCCAGTAGCCCTTGGTGATATATCTACCTGGTGTTTGGAATTGAAGTCAGTTATGCTGGCAACCATGCCATCTGCATTCATCCTTATCCCTCCTTCTGATGTTGCACCACAGGTTCATGTACAATGGATAGAGACTGCTGCCACAAAGCTCCTTGACAACTCGCTTTTCCTGCGAGACAGTTTCAATGAGAATGTATGTTCACATGGTTCATTGTCTGCACTACTAACAGATTGGTTTATCAGGGAAAAACCAGGAATTTCACTCACCCTGCCCTCAAGGAAGCTGTCATACAATTCTACTATACCAGGACCTATCAAATTGCAGATAAGCATCCTGAGTCCTTCAACAATTCAGTTCCCCTTTCCTGTCTGGCTCTCATTGCAGCTGCAGTGAGTTATTTTACACCCTGAGTCACTGCAACTCAAACTTTTCTTGCAGTATCATTGTGTGTTGGATGGATTTGTGAAGAATGGCACAGGAAAGACAATGCCTCAATTCTCCAGCAAGGCTTACAATTCCATTTTCCGTGGCATGATGAAGGTGCTGAATGACATCCTTCATAATCCCTATCACAGTGCAAGGTTGCACAATCTGCTTTCTCAGTGGGCAAAGGAAGGATGGTAAGTACTGGGGTGGCCGACATGCTTGTGCTGACTCCTTGTATCAGGGCTGCACTGCAAGAGGTTGATTTGAATGTAGAGAGGTACCAGCACATTCAGGTAGTCCTTGATTGATTTCATAATACCTAGTCCTGTTGTACTTGTCATTACACATAGTACACAATTGATGCCAATGTTCCTGTTCTTGTCATACCTGCTGTGAACTGTTCCTAGTTGTGGAGTGATCACATGTTTGCAAAGTAAACATTGAGATGGGGAGTACTGGACAATGTTACACCTCCACCAGGGGTCCTGTGATCCGGTATTCCACTGCCCTCTCTGATGGACAACTTGTTTACTTCTTGTTCTGCTAGTTTGTCTCTGACTCATTTTCATTGCTCACTTGTTGTACTATAGTTCTGGTGTCAGGCTCCTTGCTGTGCATTGATTGCGCCAGCCAGTATAGCCTTCATTGCCTCCCTACTCCCATCATTGACACCATATGACTCTTATTTATTTCACTGATGTTTCTGTTGATTACTGCGGATATGTGTCACAACACGTCAGTCACAACTGGTATGGTACTTGTACTTAGGGGTATATAGTCCTCCATACCTTGTCCTGTATCTGCAGTTTTTCAAAAGCTTGTGACTTAGCTAACTTCCTTCTCACTTGCCTTTGTTCTCTCTCCATGCAAACAACCTTAGGGACTCGCCAGTAGACAGAACCTCTGCCCAGCCTTCGAGATAACTGAGCGACAGGGGTTACAACATGTTTGGCCCATAGACTCCCCCTTGCATGCTTCATGCCTATTCCATTTGAAGAAGTCACTGCACTTGGGCATAACAAAATTGAAAAACTCCATGCAGCTTTCAGGACTTGTTGACCTCTTTGTGAAAAGTCTACTTGTCCCTGGTTACTGAACTTCAACAAACCAGTTTCACTATCCAAGGCTTGTTGGTCTCCCTCAGTGTAAAGACTAACTCACTTTCGGCCCACTCCTCAACTGCTCTAAACAAGCATAACAAAATTGAGAAGCATCCCTCTACCCTTAATCAAATTCACCACTCTACAGGCAGCCACTAGGCTTTAATAGATCACCTCCCTAGAGCCAGCGCTCGTGTCTCCCTATGCATTAAAGCCACTTGCACACCACCCATACACCCCCACACTGACAGGTTTCTTTCAAGAAATAAATCCTCCCTCAGCCTTCATTACCACTTCTCATTAAAGTGTCTAACCCACAGAAATTGAGACCGCCTGTTTCTCCTTGCTCAAATCCCTTAGGGCTCGGAAGGAATCCTCCTTTACCGCCCATCCCATTAGGAAGATTAGGCCCCTCAGTTACTACAACCAATCCTCAGTTATCTTATCTATCCCGGTTTAGGGATTTGGAAGTCACACTTAGTTTGGAAGAAGAAGATGATCAGAAGTCTGATACTTCATTCAGATCAGTCCTCAAAGAAGAACAAGGAGCCCACAAATCACCTACTATGTCCATGACAATCGGTCACAGAGAGTCTGCTCCTGAGATGCCTACAAGGACCATCTCAGAAGAGGAGCTGAGACAACAGTTGGAAGATCAACAGCTTGCTATGGCAGAAGAGCTTCGCAAGGCGATGCATGCCCAGAGTAGCGACCCCTTTCCAACAGGAATGCCTATGGACTTGGCATTATGTGAATGGTATGCCAGGAACTTCAGAAAGGTAATTCCCCCAGAGGTCCCCTTCAGAGGGTCCAGTAAGGGTAAGGCCCCAGCCGATCCTGACAACACATATGATTGCCGCCCCCCCAATGGAGGAAGGGAGTTTAATGTCGGGCATCCCGGTGAATACAATGGAAGCCACAACAGCCTCCAGACCTGGGTTACACAGGTTGAAGGTTACTTGAACCTGAACAAGCACATATACAACACAGAGTTGCTCAAGATTTTGTTTGTGCTCACCTACATGACCAAAGGCACAGCAGTCTCTTTTGCCAAAAACTACCAAAATGAAAACAAGCTTCTCGACAGAACAATTTATTATACAGACACCTTCCAGAGGTTTGTAGAACGTCTCAAAGCTACTTTTGAATCCAGTGATCAGACCGCTCTTGCAATACTTCACCTTTCAGACATTTCACAAGGCAAACAAGAACTAGAGGCATACATTGCTGAATTTACGGGGCTTGTTAACAAGGCTCAACTTAAAGAAGAATCATGTGAAGCAGGGATCTTCTTCAGGAAAGGCTTGAACAAAGAATATTGTGATTGGATTCTCAATTCTGGATGCACCCCTTCCACAGTCATAGAGTGGATACAGTGCATGGGAGAAGCCCAAACCGTGATTGCCACGAAGCATATCCTAGAAGGGAAGGAATCTTGGTATGAATGCAAATTCATTCATTACTGTGGAGGTTCCCAAGATCCTGATGTGATGGACATCGACAAATGAAAGTGGAATGTTAGATGTTCCGGCTCAGAAATTAAATGCTTCAACTGTGGAGCCAAAGGTCACTACCAATGTGACTGTAAATCAAGGACCAAACAACTCTCAGGGATCCACATAGTCCTCCAAGAGGATGGCATGAAGACTGCCTACATCGGAGATTGTGTGGCAACAGCAGATGAAAGAAAAACATTTGGATTGGATTTTTAAAGAGGACTGACGAAATCCCTGCTACAGTCAGTCCTGTTGCTATCTTGTCCACTAAATGTACCTCTATAGATGACAAAACGAATATGCATATCTGTTCACTGCTTGGATTGGTCATTCTCCCGGACTTCAAAGCAGGATTATGGGCCTGTATTGACTCAGGTGCCGAGGTTTCGCTCATTTTGGAGTGAATGGTACAGAAACTTGGAATCCTGATGTATCATGTCAAAAACAAGTTCAAGACCACCTCGTTTACCAGCAAGGACATTGAGTGGGTTACCAGAAAAGTGACTCTGAAGATGGATATCAAAGATCACATTGTTCAGGTCAAATGTTACATCAGACTGCTGGTCAGAAAAGAACATATCCTTCTCAGCATGCCTTTCCTCAAAGAATTCAAACCTTGAATGAATTGGGAAACTGGAAAGATTACATGCTGGAATGATGGATTTGAGTACCCCGAAGGATCTGACTACTACATCAAAAAGGTGGTGTCTTCGGACATGGGTAGTAAGAAGGAATCTTCTGGCCTACCCCCAGAAGTGGTAAAAATGGAAACGGGTGAAACCCCCATTGCTATTAATAAAACAACTCTTTCTACAGAACTTGAAGCTGCCTTAGCAGCAGGCAAAGAGGAAGTAAAGCTTCCTGAAATGTACAAGGACTTTGCCAAGGTGTTTGCAGAAGATGATATACCATTGCCAGCCCATAGGACAGGTTTGGATCACGAGATTAGACTCTGTGAAGACTTCAAACCCAAAAAAGCCATGGTATACCCTATGTCTCCTGATGAACTAAAAGTTTTAGACGAGTTCCTGGAAGAAAACTTAAAATGCAAAAAGATTCAACAGTCAACTTCACCTCAAGCAGCCCCAGTATTTTTCATGGCAAAGAAGGATGGAAAGAAGTGGCTAATCCAAGACTACTGCTACCTTAATTCATTCACCATCCCCAATGCCCATCCATTACCAAATGCCCAGGCTCTGTTCGACGAACTTGTCAAATCAAAATATTATGCCAAGTTTGATATTCATTGGGGTTTTACTAACCTTCAGGTAAAAGAAGGCAATGAGTGGAAAGGAGCATTTATTATGCCCAGAGGACTGTTTGAACCAATGGTAATGTTCTTTGGTCAATGCAACTCACCCCCCTCTTTCCAAAGGTATATGGGTAAAACCTTTGAATCTCAGCAAGGAAAGCAAGTTGGGTATATGGATGATGTCACTATCCATGCAAAAACAAGAGAAGAACTCCAGACCTGTGTTCAGGAGTTCTTGGAGATTTGCCAGACAGAAGGTCTTTGGCTCAAAATCAGCAAATGCATTTTTGAGGCTGAAGAAATTGAATTCCTAGGAATGATAATCGGAAAAGGACATATGGAGACTTCCCCAACAAAGACTGATGCCATCAGTACTTGGGAAGCCCCTGACAATCTTACGGGTCTTCACTGCTTCCTTGGATTCTGCAACTTCTACCACAAGTTCATCCCCTCATTCTCAAGTGTCACCCAACCCCTGCACAACCTAACCAAGAAAGGGGTCTCTTACCAGTGGACTAAGGAATGGTTATGCTCTTCTCCGGTCCTCACTATCCCAGACTTCTCGAAGCCCTTCGCTCTGTTCACAGATGCTTCAAAGCTCGGTACTGGTGTGGTCCTCGCACAGAAGGGCATTGACAATGAGTGGCACCCCTGTTCCTACCTTTCCCAGTCCCTGATCAGAGCTGAACAGCATTACCAGGTCTATGACCTTGAAATGCTGGCCATCATTCGTGCCCTCAAGGCATTCTGGCCCTACTTACTCTCCCCTGTTGAACCTACTGTGGTCTTCACTGATCACAAGAACTTGGAGTACTACCATGAGCCTCAGCAGCTCAGTCCTTGTCAGGCCTGCTGGGCCTCTACCATTCAATCCTACCCTATCTGTTTCTCCTGGCAGGCTGGTCACCTCCAGGTCCCCACTGACACACTCTCTTGCAAAAGCAAAGCTGCGGAGCCTGCCCTGGTGGCCATGGTCCTTCCCCCAGACCTTTGGCTTTTGGAGGGGGTGGATCCCCAAATTTGCCTTGTTTCACCCTCTTTTTCAATAACAAAAATACAAAAACAGTTAAAAATCAACCGTCTCTGCAGACTCAGACGTATCCCAGCCCAAGTGGAGCAATCAAAAAATAACTCCAAGCTGTATTCCTGCCCAAATGAGGACATGTCAATTGGGAATAGGCTGCCTGATGCTCGCCCTTTGAGGAAACCCATAAAGGGAGCTAGAGGAGTTTACGCCATCTCAGCAGACCTGTACGAACACATCAAGAAAGATATGTCAAAGGATTCAACAGGCCCAGAACCAAGTGGTAACATCATGATCACAGAAGATGGAACAAAACAGTTCGGAACAACACAGTTATACATTCCCCCCAATCATCGGCATCATTGCATGCACTCATATCATGACCACGAGTCAGCCAGACACCCCAGACAAAAGGCAATGATTGCAAAAATGCGAAAAGAAGTCTGGTGGGAAGGTATGGTAAAAGACATTAAAAGTTATGTTGCAGGATGCCTGGTGTGCCAGATGACCAAGGTCATCACACATCCTCTCACAC